AATATTACATAAGTCACTGAAAAGCTTTATATGATCCACAGAATGTAACAGAAGTTTTTTTTTTTTTAACCTGATTAAATGCAACCAGTGCAAACTTAATCATTCTTACTCTGTGATTGTTTTATTTGTTACTCTTAACTAATACCTAATATTGTACATACCAGTAATTTAAATATTGTTAATTGACAGCAATATATGAAACCAAGACAAATGTCTTAAATAATTCATTTCTTAAAAGTAAAATACGATAGTTTGAAAGCATTTGTCCATAGCATAGTGTTCCTAAGTGCTAGAGAAAAAGTTGCCCTCTGCCCATAGCACTATCAAGTACCCACTACAAGATTAACAAGTTTTCAGTGATTGGAGATCCTATCCCTGAATGAGAGAACCTGAACCAATAAGTCTTTAAGTGAGACTTACTATCTCGAGGTCCCAGAAGACGGGCTGTTCCAGATTTCTCTGCTTCCTCTAGCCAATCCCAGTCTGTCTGGGTATTCTCTGTTATAAACGTTACTTCACGGCCATCATAGGTTTTTCTCTTCATGATGTCTTTCTTCCTAGACCTGGACTTTCTTCTATAAAGTAGAACAAATTCCTCAATTTTTTTTTCAATTTTCATGATAATAAATATATATTACATGACAATTCTCCATATATTAAATGTAAAATCTGCACTGTCTTATACCCTGTGGGTGTACCGTCCCCTGAGCTCTTGTCAGTTCCTGATTCGGGTTCTGGAGCTTCTCTTCGGAATCCTCTTAATACTGCTGGCCGAGTTTTACCACTACCTTGTTTGGCTGTAGATGAAGCTGTAAAAATTGAAAGTAAAATATATATGTCATTCAAAGACTTGTCAGATAAATAATAGTTATATGTTCAAGCAAATATGAAAGTGACTAACAAAAATACTAAATCTAACACACAAATGATGAAGAAGAATACTCAAGCAAAATGTGTCATACCTTTACTTAATATACCATAATATATCCAAGGTGGGCAATCAAGTTTAATATACTCTCCGCCATAAGATGGTATATTTTTGTGGTGATTCAATTTGTACATAATTGTAGGAAAAAATTATCTACATTTTGAGGATGCTGCATTTTAGCTACCCGTATTTACTATGACATCACAATTAGGTCAAGCAATACATAAATTCGTGACGTCATAATATAATCCTGCAGTTGTGACATCACAATGTTAATTTTCACACTCTTACCATTTGACACAGTGGATTTGTCGTCGTCGTCGTCTTTAGAATTAATTTGTTCGTCTTGACTTTCTGAGTCCGAGTTTGGGAGTTCAATGTCGTCATTATTCCCTCCTACACCTATTGGGGGCAAAGGTTTCTTCAGAGGAAAGCGGGATTCCGAAGCATTGTCGTCTGACAAGATCTCCATGTTTAGTACAGATGTTTCCAAACCCGCAAAATCTACAATTTTTAAGGTAGGTACTATGATCCTAGTATGCATTTTTCTTTTTAATTGTTTGGGTTCTTTTTAGCTGCCTTGGATTTAAGTTTAAAATCATATACAGCCTATCATCATATTTTATACGATAGCACAAGGTCGACAGAGTTAATCTATAAACTGACTTTCTGTCTAATAATTAAAGTGACTTGGGGAAAAATACTGATATAATTGAGTCAGTATCAATAGCTATACTACGATAACATGAGGTAAACGTGATATTATTTTGGTTTATTTACCCTATTATGCCCCCTAGTCCTCCATCTTAGTTTACAAACTGGTTGATAACGACGATCACATGACTGATTTTGAAAGAAATGATTGGTTCTTTAAATTTCAGTAATTCGCTCTACTAATATTCGTTTCGGCTCTGTAAATGAGTTAAAAACAATCTAAATTACATGTTGATTAATTTAATAAATTCACGAGTTGAGATATAATAGAAAGACCAATAATACATTCGTGTGGATAATCTAAGTTTTATATTTACTTTTATCGATAATGTATACAAAAGGGATGGATTTTTCTTGAATTAAATTTTTAATCATTCATTTGTTAACAAGTAAAATTTTTCAATGGCTCCTTTCTTCTCACTGCAGTAAAATTTTATACCATTACTTCGTATGGCTTAGATATGTAGATCATACTCGTATGTCTAATTTAGTATAAAATAAATTATACTACCTAACTCTAACGAACGATGTCATTTTAAAGTAGGTAAATGATTGATATATAAACAAAATACGAGCTTGAAGCGGGGGTGCCTGAAATTGAGTTAGGTACCTTGTGGTAAAAATAATTAGGGGTGTCCCGTCCGTGTACGAAACAAGTGCCTGTGGGATAGTATCTTAATCTTAAGGAAAAATGCCAAAATTTTATTTGATGGATCCCTTTTAAACTATGATTTTGTTGATGCTTTATAGTTTACAATTTGCTGTGAATGAATGCATAATATGAATATCTAATAAATAAAAACATATCAAGAAAAGTCAAGAATTAAGACATTTTAATATTTAAAAAAAAAAAAATATTTATGAAAATAGAAATAAAAAAGTTGTTTGTGAATTGTGTGTTACACTTTCGTTTCCGGACGATATCTTAAACAGTCTTTTAACAGCTGTTTAAGCTTTTGCAATGAAATTTATTATCATATCTCTTTATGGCCGTCAAGGACGTAAACTCGCTTTTGGTGGATCAGTCATCAATTATAATGCTTCAAGTGTCAAAAATCTTGGGGTATTTTTCGACAGCAAACTTAGTATGGGGTGCCAAATAAATTCAGTAACTAGATCCTGTTATTTCCATCTTCGTAACATCGGTAGAATAAGATCACTTATAACATAGGATGCGTGCAGGACACTTGCTAGATCACTCGTTACATCTTGACTTGATTATGGTAACGCACTTCTTTAAGGTCTTAATGCCACATCCTTGCAGAAGTTGCAGAAAGTTCAAAACACTGCTGCCAGACTATAGTGACACGTTTAAGGAAACATGAACATATTACACCAATTCTCATAACTCTTCATTGGTTACCTGTGGCATATCGTACAAAATATAAAATTCTTTTGTATACTTTCAAGGCCTTACAGAAACCAGCCCCGGCATACATTCAGGAACTGGTTTAGGTCTATCGCCCACAGAGCTCACTTCGGTCTGGGGATTCACTGAGCCTTCTAAAACCACGTACTCATAGTAGGCTGTATGGAGATAGAAGGTTCGATGTATCCTCAGCCACCCTGTGGAACTGCCTCCCGCTGGACCTTCGGAGCGAACAGTCACTTGTCGTTTTTAAACAAAAGCTAAAAACACATCTTTTTAAACTTGCTTTTGATTTATAAGACACTAACTAAGCATCCAGTTGATTTTTATTCCAATATTAAAATAAAAATCTTTTAATTTTAATTCTTATATGAACTTTAGTCTGGTGTTATTTTCATTTATTGTTCTTCGTTTTATATTGTACTTGTTTTTACATGTTAAGCGCTTTAGGTTAATTGTAAAATTAGATAAGGCGCTATATAAAAGTAGAATAATAAAATAATAATGGCCTAAGGAAGACCCCTTTTGATTTTGAGGTCAAATGATCAAGGGCCATAAATTAAAATATTTCAATAACATTTTCTAGCTGATGACTTCAGTTTTCTTTGAACTTTCTTTAATAAAACAACTCCTTATGGCCTAAGAAGAACCCTATCGATTTGGAGGTCAAAAGGTCAGATATCAAGGTCATAAATTCATATATTTTCTCTCTTTGTATCGTAACACTTTTTCCCAATTATATCTTAAAAAGCCTTGAGATTTTACAGTGAAATTTTTTATCACAATGCCCTATAGCCTTAAAATCCCGTATTGATTTTAAGGTCAAAGGTCAAGATCAGAAATTATATATACATGTATTGCATTCTAAGTATATAATTTTCTCATCATAATTTTAGTTTTTCTGTGAGCTTTTGGTCTTCAATTTCTTTAACTTTAAAAAAAGACTCTTATTGATATAAAGGCCAAAAGCTGAAAGGTCAAAGTTGACTTTTTCTTCCTCCATCTGCAAAATTTTTCCAGTTCTTCTAGTTCCCTCTTCTGTTTTTCTTAAGCAGGGGACATAAATTCTTTACTTTGTTTTAATTGTTTTTAGCTCCTCACAGGAATTAAACCCTGGACAAAGGATAAGTGCTTATGAGATGCTTGCCTGGTCTTTCAGCTTAGGTCTTCCAGGATCCATTCCTGGATATTGAAACTTACCCTTTGAACTTGAAGCACCTGCGAGATTGAACTTCACAAGTCTTAAGGAATGACTATTCCCTTTTTTGAATACCTGGACAAACTCTAATTTCTATTTCCACTCTGACCCTGTGCTGGTCTAGATAATATTATTATTATGTCATCATCTCAAAAAGAATGCGCGGATCGGGGGGGGGGGGGGGAGGAGGGTCCGGATCCCCCCTGGAATTTGCAGAGTTATTTTAAGTACATGTATATACTGTAGCAAATAAAAATGGCTTTAGACCCCCCCCCCCCCAAGAGAACGTGGATCCCACCATCACCACCACGAAATAGGTGTTTTTCATGTTTGGGAAATGCATTTTCCGGTTGTTTTTTTTTTGTTTTTTGTTTTTTTTTGTTTTTTGTTTTTTTTTTTTTTTGCTTGTCAAGAAAGTTTTAGGTTGGAATTTTTTTTGGACTGGGGTGGAAGCCCCCCCCCCCCCCCCTTTTGGAAAAAATTCCTTGATCCGCGCTTGAAAAGAGTCCATAAATCTAACATCAATTCATGGGAAATGCTGAAAATTGTGATAAATTACAGTGATGTAACTATAGGATTGAAGTAAAAAGAAAAAAATCGTTGTGTTTCCTTTAAATTAAAATAAATTTTGAAAGAATAATTGTTTGATAAGATATATTATTAATTTTTTAACTTGAATTCATAACAACCAAAAGGAACAATCCACACATAGGGCTGAATTATATTTATGATTTAAAACAAACTGTAATATCATGAAAATAATTTCAATCACGCTACATGTATCTTACATTTTACACTCTATACAGAAACACTTTGACAAGTCCACCATAGTATCCCACCCACAGTGTAGACTTGTACAGTGATAATCTGAATGGGCTGTTCACTTCATTCTCTGTCAGTAAGAATTTCAAGAACTCCCCATCAGGATTCAGCAGATGGATATTTTTGCTAGCTTTGTCAGTAACAAGGATGTTACAGTGCGAGTCACACTCTACATTAGTTAGATCTAAGTTCCCTGTCAGGTTCTGTCCACGGTAGACAGACTTCACACGACCAGAGGGAGACATAATCACTAGATCACCTGTAGTGTCACTTGTCCGGTTGACAACACAGATTTCACTGTTACTATTCTGTGTGATTCTGTACGGCACCGTAAACAGTCTAGTCTTACCATCCTCCTGGTACTCATACTCATGGATGACGTCACCTGTCACTGTGATGTGTCTCACAAGACGTCTGCTGTGTGACTCTAATTTGTAACGATCTGATACACTGTTTAACAAGGTAACCAGTAGTCCCCCATCCACTGACTGACAGATTCCTGCTGGTACCAGTGGATTTGTACTGATGACTGTAGAGACAGATCCCGATAGTGACAGTGAACGGATGGAATAGTTTGTAAAGTCAGTGAAATAAACATCACCATTATCAGTCACACACATGTCATTAGGTGTGATGTTATATTTATGTTTTTTCTCACCTTCTTTGTTTACTTGTTCAGTATAAGGTGATTCAAGTTCTCTTATGTAACACTGAGCTTCACTCAGTGCCCTCAAAAAAACTATTCGTTGATCTCCATATTTAAATGAGCTTGTTTCAGTCAAACAGATATCTTTCAAGTTCAGAGTTTTTCCAATTAATTTCTCCATAACATTATCACTGATTTCTCCTTTACTATACCTTACTGAATGTTTAAAGCCCTTTATATCAACATCCAGGCCAGCCAACAGTTGTGTCAGTTCTCTGTGGTTGTCAATCATGCTGTAATCTGACATGGCACTCTTGCTGTCCTCCATGAACTGAACTGTCTCTGCAATTGATTCCCTCTTTTTGAATAACTCAGATTTTACACTTTCCAGCTGATCATTTTTATCCTTCAAATGGTCTCTCAATCTTCGTTCATTTCGTTTCTTGATTTCTGATAAGCTGGTAATTATCTCATCATAGTGCTTCTGAAGCTTTTTAATCTCAGAGTCACAAAGTTCTTCATTTTCTGTGATCTGTTTTGACATCTTCTCTATCTTCTCTTCAATCCCAGGCAGATCCTCTTCCTTGATCTTCTTCAGGAAATTAAGTAGACCTCTCCTCTTTTGGCTGGCTGCCGTTGGTATAGTGCTCCATTCATGATCTCTATGATCTGTTTTGGCACATTTACCACAAATAAATTCATCACAGTCCTCACATATCACATCAATAGGTAAATCATGGGTTTTACACATTTCAATATGCTCTTGAGGAGAGCCCAGTGGATGTTTTGGTTTACTGGCTGCCATGTTTGTTGAATGTTGACTATCTATAACTTAGATTAGGTAGCTTGCTGTGCATTGTCATACCCGGTATTTAAACTGATATCATATGACAAGGACGTGCAATGCTGCAGTATATTTTAAAATTACATTTAACTAAATGTATTCATTTGTCACTGAATAAACGGCATGAAAAAAGTGAAGATAACAAACAGCGATCGATCCCATAAACCATTTGTGAACAGGGCATAAAAAATATATCTTCAGAAATAACAATCATGCACAATGTTATGCAAGATTTATATAAACTTCCCAATTTTGTCTTTGAAAAAACTAAAGCCTTAATTTAAATGCCCAGTAATGAAAATTTTGCATACCGCAAATGTAGCAAAAAAAAATTTGAACGGCTACATACATGTATAATTTTGTTGTTGACCCGGTCCTTCCGTTTGTCCGTCACAAATCTTCATCTTCAAGCTTCTTTTTTAATTTAAGCAGCAACAAATTTATCTTTTAAAATATGATAGAGGGTAATTTTCTACAATTGCAATAATCTTGCAGTTACATTTTTTATTCTAGGGACTTAATAGGGGTTAAAATTCAACATTTTTCTAAAAAAAAAAAAAAATAAAAAATCTGCACCCCTTTTCCAAAAACAAAAAAATTAAAAAATGATTCAAAATTTGTCAGCTGTGAAATAATTTTTTTGTTAAATAAATCAATCAAAATCATAGTACTTCTTAGATCCACACTGTATACACTCATACTTCTTAGATCCGCACTGTATACACTCTGCATATGCTTAAGAAGAACAGTTAGAAAGATTTGTAAAAATTTTGCCTTAGTCACCAGCAATCTGATTAAATTCAGATTTTTGTTGCGCTACAAATTTCTAATACACGCTGTACGTTGTACATTGACTATCAAAATTTCGGAGCATAAAAAAGATCTGGTTTTGTACAGCAACTATCAGAAATTGGGAGCTAATTAAATGTTGATGAAGCTGAATAGCTTTCATCAATATATATCAAATATGTGACAAAATGAATGACAGGAGGTCTTTTAATAACAAATACAACCAACATTCATAATCATTTGAGTACCCAAAACAGTAAATCACAGTGCATAGAGAATAAATGAATATCTAAGCTGGTAGTTCAAAACACATTGCTAAAAAGAAAGAAGAGCTTGTGAAAGCCACAGTTGTAAACACATGTTCTTTTTTCCTAAATGTGGATTAGTATTTCCCTTACAAAAAAGACTCAAATATGAATTCTCTCCCATCTCTCTTTCCCACTCTCTCTCTCTCTCTCAAACATAACAAAATAACAAAAACAAAATTATAAACAGTTAACAGAACCATCATTATTGTCACAAATTCTTTTTGTCCAGAAGAAAACTGTGTCCCCAGCACACTGAAATTTGTAAGTTGTCCCAAAAGAGCAGACATAGAAAGACCGGCAATCCCCAGGGACAGGGAGGTATTCGTTGTGTCTGTTAGGTTTACAGGGGTCTGTAGAGGCCGGTGCTGTGGGGCGGGGGATAGTGGTGGTGACCACAGGAGTGGTGGTCTGTTGGATTGGATTGGTGGGTAAGAATGCTGAAATCATACAATAATACTGAGTACAAAGATACGTTAAGTATTCTACAAAATTGAATATTTAATATATTAATGAAGTTTCAAAAGAACAAGCTTGCAATAAATCTTATAAGTACATGTAAAGCAATCACGACATATTTAGCTATGTCCACAAAACACTTCTACACGCTACAACTGCAGATACACAACTATTCACATTTCAAACAGTCACCAAAACTTTAAAAGACAAGTAGTTCTTATTACCTGAAAAATCCACAAATGTTCCTAGGAAAAGTTCTATCCCACTATTACTGGTACCTAAAATGTATATATTTAAAATAAATCTCCACATTTCGTATAAAACAAATGATGATACAACATGAGAACAAAGGGTCCAAAGGAAATATAAACTACAACCCTGCTGGAGAAATGACCTGCACTACTGTAAGTGATTTGTTATTGCCTCTTTATACTAAGCTGAAGAAAAAAAACCACATAGACATTTGAAATTTAAAGTGGGGGGGGGGGGGGGGGGGAGGGGGTCAATGAAGAAACAAAAAAATCCCCACAGTATCAATATGAATAATATGAAGAATAATAATATGAAGAAATGAGAAAATTCAAAAAGGGACAGCAGAGGAAACAAAAATTACTGCAGTCCACTCTGGATTGACTTTGGATTACTGTTTATTAAAGCTACAGAATCAAACTCCTTTCAATCAAATATCTCTTTAGGCATTTTGGGAGGACTCATGTATGTAATAGCCACTAACTATCTGTCAAAAATACAAGATGGCACACAAAGATAAGAGAAATACAGTTTAACACTGTTATCTCGAACTTTGATTATCTCAAATATCATGGATATGTCGAGCCGATTTGGAAGTCCAACATCTTATTCTTTCCCAACCACTTATTCAGTAAGTATTTTACCCTTGATACCTCGAATTCTTAGATACCTTGAATTTTTTTTTCAGTCCCTCTGTGTTGGAAATAATGAAGTTTGACTGTATAAACTCTTAACTAACATCAATAATGTTCAAGTGAATAATAATGATGTTTATTTCATATAAAGTAAGCTGCATCAGACCTCTGTCTCCTCAAACAAGAAGTCTGTGAGCCAATGCTCACTAGTAATACCCCCGCTCTGATGTGAAGATACACTCTAAGCACGGATTAACAGGAAGTTGACATCGGATTCATACAAAAATGAATCCCACCATAAGGCATGCCAAAACAAAAAGTGTGTTAAAATTTCAAGCATCTGCGATGAGCATTTGTACAAACAGACACACGGATAAACAGGAAGTTGACCACAGATTCGTACAAAAATGGATCCCACTATATGGCATGCCTAAACAAATAGTGTGCTAAATTTTCAAGCATCTGCGATGAGTAGTTGCTGAGAAAACTGTGACGAAAATTTGTTATGTATGGTACGGACAGGGGCACGGATAAACAGGAAGTTGACCACAGATTCGTACAAAAATGAATCCCACCAAATGGCATGCCTAAAAAAAAACTGCTTTAAAATTACAAGCATCTGCTATGAGTAGTTGCTGAGAAAACTGTGACAAAAATTTGTTATGTATGGTACGGACAGATGCACGGATAAACAGGAAGTTGACCACGGATTCGTACAAAAATGAATTCCACCATATGGCATGCCTAAACAAAGAGTGTGCTAAAATTTCAAGCATCTGCGATGAGTAGTTGCCGAGAAAACTGTGACGAAAATTATGTTACGAACAGACAGACAGATACACACACACACAGACAGACACACAAGGGTAAAACAGTACACCCCCTCTCCTTCGGAGCGGGGGTATAATTAATCTTTCTCTAAAGCCATCAGAATAGACTGACTAGAATCCAGTAGAATTTGTCAAAGTGTAGATTCTAGAAATACATTACAGAGATGCTGACTGTTTTGAATCAGACTTATAAAGGAAATATCTCACAAGTTAAGTGAACAGTGAGGTCATACGGGTATCAATCAGTCCATGCTGTCAACTCCACCATATCCAGGAATGATATCAGTTATCACGTAAATTTTTTTTGGTGAAATATACAAGAAACAGATGAGTTGGTGATTCTTCCTCATCAAATCCAATGAGGTTTATCTTTTAGAATTTTTCAGTATGATGTGGTATGCAACTCTAATATCTTAGTTCCTGACCTCTTTACACAGTATACAGGCACTGTCTACCTGAGTCCTGATAGAGAGTTCCTAATTAACAGTACTTAAAGAAAGAAGGGATACGTTTTTGAGACACTTATCTCAAGAGTTTTTATAAAACTTCGCTACACGAAAAAAAGGAAAGATATAAGGTGACTGTGACAGTTGTATTAAAGGTCAGTCTGATATTTTGTACACATATTTAAGTTACTCTCACTGTCAGTGACTTTATGTAATGTGGTTTGAAGTTTAATAAAAAGAATACTAGTAACTAGACAAAGCCATGTGTTTACAACATTTTATATAAAATTTACACTTGAAATATTTATGTGAGACAAAGCACAATTTTCCTTAAAATAATAATTTTTTTATTTTGCATTTCAATTTCTTTTACAATAATCATAAATATATATAATAATATGAAGACTTGGCAAGATTTAAACAATTCAGGTGCCTCAACACAACAGTTCACGACAAAGTGAAACTCATGAATGGGATGAAAATAATCAATTAATGATTATATACAAATTACATATGCACTTCTTTTTGTAAAATCTTTCCTCAAATGTACAATGTTATTATAGCAAAAGTATAACCTTGTCTTTTAATTCAAGGTATATTCTATCATAAAAAACAAAGTATATTCTATCATAAAAAAAAAAATGAAATAGGACCGGGCATTAAACACTGTCTTTAGAAGTCCCCTCTCTTGGCTATATGCAGTTTGAATCAACAACACAGTCTCCATCAGCCACACTGAATGCGTATCCACTAGTACACTGTAACTCCATAGCCTGGCTGCCCAGACACACGTAAAATTTACCACAATGTCCAGGATCTCCATAAAATTTCTCATAGTATGATGTGACACCATCACACATTTCTGTAAAGGTGGAATAATAAATTCAGTCAAAAGACTGGAATATATAAACCAGATACCCTGTGTACTTATTGCTGTGATGCTGGGAAAAAGCTGGTACATTACCATGATGTAGAAAGCTAGTACACTGACAATAACTGGCATCTAAGCAGGTATAGTTGTAAATTGCCAAGGTTTAGAAAGCTGGTACACTGATAATTATGGTATGGGCATTTTAAGCTGGTACATGTATACTTGTAACTCATGAAGTTGGTGCACAGTAGTGAGAAAAATATAGCATTTATAAAGCTATAGGAGTGGTCACCTATGTCCAGTACTTGTAGTTAAAATGAGAATAGTGTGCATTATTAGTAGGAGATATCAAATGATAAGCATCAATTTTTTTTTAGAGCTTATAGATTAAAATCACATAAAAATTAAATTAGAGTTCTTCATGTACATTGTATCTAAATTACTTTGTTCTTTAAGAAGATCACAAAGACCTGCACTGACATTTTTCAAAGTGCATGCTTTCAATGTCAGTGTGATAATATTATTGAAGTTAACTCTTGAACATATACTATATGATTCCATCATTACATTAATACCAAAAATATCCCCAATTCTTGAATTTATATACAAGCAAATTAAGTTTGCATGGAGAAGAAAAATTAATCAATAGTAAATCCATGAAAATTTCTAACACTTGTAACTTCTTTTGAGAACAAACTTTTAAGGCAATATTTCATAATCTTTTTATTTTCAATCTCAGTTTAATTGCATACAATGTCATCAAAGCCTCTGAAACGTTATACAATGTCACTTTACTTGTAAACTTCATATTTACATAATTGTCCAATACTATATACACGTGGGATCTTTGATGCAGCTCTTCGTTGGGAGATCAAATCTCATTCTCTCTGGAGTTTTTGGACAGCGGATTGTTTGGGCGTTTTCTCTCATACACACAATAAACTCGTAGCATTTGTCTGTCTTATAGAACACTTCGCCCTGGGTTTTCTCCCCTTCACAAAATTCTGGAACCAGAATGGAACAGTTTAACTTCCTGGATGGTTTCCCTCTCTAACAAACATACCCTATCCAATGCTGCATTCATGTGTTTTATATGCAATTTGAATTACAGAATCTGATGATAACCAACTTCAATACTGCTTTCCTCCATGCTCTGTTATCCAAAACAAGATTCCATTTATACAGAATTACACCACTCACTCTAATCCTACCTCCTTGGTTATTCTTCATTCAGCAAATCAAGACAAATACTGTAATCATCCATGATCATGCACTATGTCCTCTAATAGTAAGGAAAATCTTTGTTTTCATGAATTGGAATATTCAAGACAAAAGTAAGATGATTTTCAAGCCAATCACTTTCATGATAGACAAACAAAAAAACCTTCTAAATCAGACCTTCTCCCAGAGTGTGCAAGAGTAAAGTATGGGAAAATATGGACTGGTATGCAAACACCTCAAAGACCATGCAATAAATATAGATATAGCATTCAAAATAACACTGAATTATGCAGCTTATCACCAAGTTCAGATTGGACTACATAGTCATTAGTAATATTGTCATAATTTATGTGCAAGTTGTGGTAAATTTCATAAATACTTGTATGATACAAATGTACAATTTGCATGCATGTTTTCAATCTCTTAAAAAAATATTCAGTCATTTCATTAAATCAATCACTAGATATCAAAGTTACAAAACTATTTTAATAATACCTTTCTACATAAAGGAACTGCACTATATGCTTAATTTTTACCTTTCTACATAAAGGAACTGCACTATATGCTTAATTTTTACCTTTCTACATAAAGGAACTGCACTATATGCTTAATTTTTATTTGAAATGAACTCATCTCTTTTAAAAGTACACAGTTACAAAAGTTGTAATGTGAAAAATACTGCAGATGAATAATCTAAACATTTCCTGTAATTTTTTTTTTTAATAAAAACTTGATTTTGTGTTTTAATCACAAAAGTATGCTCTATTTAGTAAATAAAGGATTCATATTAAGTTCAGTTTTCCACTTACTCTCTGGTTTCATGGATGTCTTGCCAGCTCTCATGTTTCCAATAGGAAGTGCTGTAGTGACCACTGCCACCGTGGCTTGCTCTATAGCTAGGGACTGTTCATACACCGCTAGAGGACCCACCACAATGGAGATCTGACCATTTACCGTGGTACGTGGTGCAATTTCTATCAGAATACCAAAGATGTACTCCTGCAGAGTCTGATCTTGTTGACCTTTGAACTGTAGCACAAAATTGATTTTCTCTCTTGCCCCATCTGTCCTGTAATTTCAATATAAAAATATTTGTTGATGATGTATTGAATAACTCTGTACAAACTTACACATTTCAATGAAGTAAAGGAGAACTGGTAGACTAAACTTAACATTGTAAGCTATTTTTTTTTTGCTCATACATGTACTCATTCATTTTATTTTATTAAAATCCTTCATAAACAGTATTATACATGATAAAGAAGTTAGAATTGCAGCTTACGTGATAGAAGCCACTTCACATTTTTCATAAATGTCCCTGAATCTGTCTCTTCCAACATACAAGTTGGTCAACTAAAATGTAAAAAATAATGCATTTATTCAATAAACACAATAATTTGTAATAAAAATATTAGTATCAAGAGAATTTTATCCAAATGTAAAAATAAATAATGTTATAGTAGCAAAAGCTATACTTACACTGAAAACATGGAACTAGGGTTAAAGTACACAGATAATAATAATAGTACTCACATATTGACAGAATGGATCAGCAATAGCTTTAAAGGCTGCTGACTGGGGGTTGGCTAAATCCGGAGTCCAGGTCAAGTTCAACAACACAAAGGAGGCATTGATGATTGTATTCACTGATAAAGTAAAGGGTCTTTGATAAACTACTGTGTCTTAGCATAGAAACTTAATACATGTACATAGATCCATTAACATAGAATAGTTAATAATTACACAAATTCAAATAGTTGACATTATTAATGACTCAAAGACAGATGAGTGGAAATTAAACAACATTTTTTTGTTGCAAAGTTTCTTTTGTTTCAAAGAATTCTGAACACATTTATTTTTATCAGCATGCAGGATATAGACAAATCTACCTGGACTTTCAGTGGTCAGGACGTAGTCCTGTATCAGATAGTTGGAGATATTGATGGGGAAGTTCTCCATTTCTCCTCCCAGGTAGACCAGTTGCTGACCAATGAACATCATGTCCTTATTCTCAACATTGAAGTGGTCAGCTCGTTTGCTGATGATGTCCTGGATAACTTCCTTTGGAATCTCCTCAGTGCCGTTAAATATCACATTAAAGGTCAAGGTGTGCACAGGTGTGTCTCTGTTACAGAAATTAGGCAGGGTAAAAATTGCATGGATTTTAGTGGGAAAATTCTGAGATTTCCTTTTTCTTTTCTTAATCTGTTCCTTAAAAAGTTCCATTAAATTCTTACATTTAAAACAGAAAAAAATTAATGTGATTCCAAATAAATGGTTATAATGAATAGGATTTGGTTGCAATAATTATGCAATTTTGATTGAGCACTAATAAGCCAGCTTCAATAAAATCGAATGTCAAATGCAATCTGTTACTGTAAAACCAGAAAATATGGCGCACTACTAATTTTAGCACCTTTGGCGCAAGGGCTCCTGAGCGCTAAAATTTATTGTGCGTTAACAGATTTCTAAAATTAAACTTTTTTCATGTACAAATCAATCACTCAAGTACATGTAAACCGGAACGCGCGATTACGTAATGTCGTAAGGAAGCTGTATTTTTTGTATACACACTCACACAGGTTAACTGTAGGATTGATCGAGAAAGTTCTGCCAAATTATGAATTAATCAGTTAAACTATTGTTAGTTGTTACCCGGTACTTATCATTAGCACCTTCAAAGTTGGGCTTCTTGCCATGTCTATCATCTATTGCCTTGAGGTGAAAAATGCGATCAAGCATGGGCGATCGACCTTGCAGGCAATATCTAATTATGTTTACCAGTTCCTTCGATGCATGCATGGTTTTAATAAGAAACTAGTCATGTTTTCTTTTATTAAACAAGATGTGTTTGTGAAACACTATGCCCCCGATGGTAACACAATTCTGGAGTGGGACGTAGACTACAGTGCAATAGTTATGGCCAACGTTAAAGTTTTTCAAATGTAGGTCAAAGGTCACAGTTGAGGTCACATGATCAAAAATTTCTGTACCAATGGAAAGGTCTTGTCATAATGAACACTCATGTCAAATATTAAAGCCTTACCCTTGACAGCGCAATAGTTATGGGCTAGGTTAAAGTTGACAACAGAAAGACAAACAGAAAGACAGAACAAAAACAATATACCCCCAGGATTTTTCGATCCAGGGGCATAAAAAGTTTTAAATCAACATTATGCCACGTCCATGTGCTTGCATCACTACGGAAAAATGAACGATTGTTTACCTGTGTACGTGAGTTAGAAATCAATGCTATTGCGTTTGTGTGCTTGAGTGACTGCAAAATCAAATACGGGCATGGATCAAAGAAAAAATATTACATTTATATATTTCGACGACAAGCGCTAAAATTTATTTGCGCCAATTCATTTCCACTTGCATTTGCACTAAAATATGTATGCGCCAAATTTTCTCATTTTACAGTATATAGTATTTTTACTATTTTACTGCATTTAGCATCCATATATCTGACCCAAAATAAATCACCTACTAATTAACAAACATTTAAGCTCACCCTATTTTTGTGAAGAAACATCTGTAGAATCTATCAGAGAGTTGGCTATTTTTGAAGAAATTGTCAATCTGAAAAATATTTCAAAATATTATGAACTTTGTACATATATGTACCGGGGGTATATTTCAATTGCTTGAACCTATATCCACCAGCAGTTCAACAGATTTTACCTGGATAGCAGAACTATTGTGATCATTTAGAATTTAAAACATGCAAGTACTTACATCACCACAGAACAAATTCTCAAAGTCCTTATAGAGGGCTGAATTAGCATCTGCATATTGAGGGTTGTAGGAAAACTCATGGATGAAGTAGGTCATGTTGGATAGCCAAGCATCTGAAAGAAGTAATTCAACTTTTAAGCTGCTAAGCATGTACTTTTTAATGTTCCAGTGCAATCAATTTTTATACTTTCTTCTTCAAAGTACAGGAATATAAATATTATATAAAGACTAAATATGATAAACAATTTTCTAATGATCTATAACAATAAAGCACACTGCTACTGTTCATGTAATTTCAATATTAGTTCAGATTACTTGTGCCATATCATTTTGCATGGGATATTTTTTAAACAATTGAAAAAAAATCTGTATAACATTTAAATCATATCAGTCATATCAAATCAATGCACAGAAAAAGATCATTAGGAAATTCTAATCGCTAGAAAAATTTCCAGAAATACTGACCATGCAAGATGTACTCCCAGCTGTCATAGAACACCAACAGATCGCCCACGAGATGTCCTAGATTGTTCAGGTACCTATATCTTGGAGCATCCTCAAATATAATGCCTGAAACTAGATCTTTGTATTCGCCGATATTTACTAGGCCACCAAACTGAAGGTCAACTGATATGGTTGTTGGATTGTTACTGAAAGAAAAAGCAGTATACTCAAAGCCATTTTATTAGCTACCCGGTAGATTCTTTTCTAAACTTGAAGCAATTTTATTCTCTTTATATCAATGCTGAATACTGTATGTGAGATTTCACTGTCTTACCCAAACTGAACAACTTCACAGCCTTCATATGTTGGGAAAATTCTTTTGTGTGATCTCATCAATTTGTCAATCTGTTGGGAAAGAAATAAAATTTAAATCTATAACACATCTTCAAAAACAACTTTATTATAAAACCAATGAGAATAACATCACCAGATAAATTCATGAAAAACTTTATAATCTTTCAAAAACCTTGTTAAACTTATGAGAAACACATTATGAGATAAATTCATACTCAGTGTAATTTACTCACATCTTGACAGAACAGCATTGCATGCTGTTTGTATCTGGCTGAGTTTTTGTCCATCAGATCCGTGGTGTATGTCAAATTGAGGACGCGGAATGTCAGCGGGACCGTGGTGTAGTCAGTGTAATACTCGGAGAATATCAGGAACTGTCCCAGCAGGTAACCCAGGAAATTCTTGTATCTCTGTAGGGGTTGCTCCTTCATCAGCTGGAAGAACTTCTGTTGTAGCTCAGGAGTGAAATGGGTTCCCTCAAAGGTCAGGTCAAAGTACACTCTGGTTGGATTATTTCTAAAAAACAAAGGAATCCTTCTTAGTCATTTCAACACTTCAGTGTATTCAAGGTTAAAAAAAAAAAAGCAAGAACTACTGAATATATATTACATGCACTTAACAAATTTTCAATAATTATTAAGTACATGTAATTCTGAAGAATATTCTTTAAAGAAATATGCAATGCAAAATACAAGTATATATTAGTTTGAACTGTTGGCTTACCCATACTGTTTAACTTCACATCCCACTAACTTAGGCAGGTCAACACCAAAGGTGCCAACTAATCTTTCCAACTGTAAATCGAATAAGAAAACATCATTATTACTGTTTCTTTGTTATTTTATTGAGAATTTTTTTTGCAATTCTTTCTCTACTTCTAACCAATAGCATTGTAAAATTTCAAAATTGAATTCATTCTCCTTTTCAATTTAAACTTTAGAATTTACATGAACCACTCAATATTTGAGCAAGTTGTCAAAAAACTGGACTACATTTACATGTACATTGCAAGATGCTGCAAGTCACAAAATGAACCACACAAATTGATATGATTTGCATTCAAATCTTCCATAAAGCCCTTTGGGCAAGATGGAACTTGATCATGTGACCAACAAGTACATGTATCTGTATCCCAATACTTATAAATTCAATTTTTATACACAGATAAAAAAAGAAGAAAAACAGTATATCCTTACATCTTTACAAAGGTCAGCTGAGTATTCTTTGAACATGAAGGAGTTGGGGTTCCTCAGCTCATCTGACCAGGTCAGGTTTAAGATCTGTAAGTCCATGGGCAGTTTGGTCGTGGCGTAATCATTGATGTGAACAAAGATGTCTCCAATGACCACCCCCTCCGAGTCCTTGTAGTAGTAATGAGGCAAGTCTTTGTAGATAATGTCCAAGATCTGTTTCTCACTTAGTGAGGGCTGGTCACCAGTAAAGATTAGTTCCCAGTTTAAAGAGGTGGGGTTGTTACTGCAAGAAATTAAAATTTTTTGCTCAATTTCTGGTGCATCTTAAATACTTTTTTCTAAATATTATGATCAGATATTATACTTGTTGATGACTAATCAAAGTGCTCTGAATGTAGGAATGTAATACATGTATATATATATATATCAAATAAAGCTACATTTATATATATTATACTATATAATTATATTATTAATGTCTCATTTTTTTTTTACTATATAATTATATTATTAATGTCTCTTTTTTTTTTACTATATAATTATATTACTAATGTCTCATTTTTCATTTCTTTGACTAAACTAACACTCTTTACAGCAATACTGAATGTATTACCCATAGGCCACAACTCGGCATTCCTTGTAGTCAGCAAATGCATTGGGATATTTTCTTATAATTCTATCAATCTGGAAAAAAAAATGCATTTTGAACAATCCTAATCCAGTAAAAAATTAAAATAAAAACACAAGAATTCAATATTTTTACTTTTTTTTTTGCAAGTCAAAACTTACATCTGCACAGAACAGATCTGCATGGGCTCTGAATTCATATGTTCTGTTGTCAAGTAAACCTGGGGTAAAGGTTAAATTCCTGGCAATGGATCGGAATTTAAATCCTGTTATGATGGCTGAAGGGAAAAAAAGATACAATTTTCATTCTCCCCAAAAAAGGACATATATTTGCACTAAGGTTTCTACACAGTAAAAGTCTTGTAATAAAAGGGAGTCACTAAATTCTGGGGGGGGGGGGGGGGGGGGGGGGTTTCCAGTGACATCAGTTACTGGTCTGTCAAAATTAATTACTGCATTTTTTCAAATCAAAATTTACAATCTGAAAATATCAAGCCTCAAAATCCTTACATATACATATAGCAAATGCAAGAAATGGATTTCTTGCAATCTTAAAAGTCTTCATGCTGTGTTTTAAAATCCTACATACAGCAAATGCAAGAAATGGATTTTTTCCATCTTAAATTCCTTCATGCTGTGCCTGCACATCATTTACACCTACCTGTTTCACAAAGAGGACCAGTGAAATCTGGGGGACAGATGCATGTAAAAGAGCCCTGATTGTTGATACACTGAGCCCCATTTTTACAAGGTCTGTCATAACATTCATTGATGTCTAAATGAAAAACAACATAAATGAAATACATTGTAACTAATCTATTAACTGTATAGTTTAAAGACACATTTACATTATAATATGCTTACAGCCTTACAATTAACTCCAGGATGAGTCAAAATTAACGGCTATAACATGAATATATATAATTCATCTGATGAAAATATTATTTGGTTTTAAATCTATATTTGATATTAGGAATTTTCACTTAATCCAGGCTTAACAGTAAACCTTATCTTCCTGCAATTGTTTATTTACTTTAGAATCTGTATATTGACTAAGACTCACCAATTTCACAATTTGTCCCTGTCCATCCTGGGGGACAGATACACTTGTACGACCCTGGCGTGTTGACACACTCTGCGCCATTCTGACACGGGCGGATAACAAGACACTCATTGATCTCTAAAGTTAACAAAAGTTATTTTTACATCTGTCAAAACGGTCAATTTAGGCTCCAGATGAGGAATCATAACTGTTTATCTCGAAAAATACTTCAAATAACTCTTAAAGTTTCCATGATATTGAATTGAAATTTGTTTACCTTGATTTCTTACTGAAAACTGACTTGCATGTATCAATGAAGTAAAACCTGACTTGCATGAATTACTGGACTGAAATATCTACATGTACTTACCTGTATCACAATTCTTTCCTGTCCATCCCGGTGCACAACTGCATGAATATGATCCAAAACTATCATAACATGTGGCCCCATTCTTACAAGGTCTGTATAAAACACACTCATTGATGTCTGAAAATACAATTTTAAATGAAATCAGAAACAGAATGTTCAAATGGGTCAGCACTGCTTTTCTTAACAATAATTCAGATATTGAAATTTTAAGGGCATTATCCCAGCAAACCCCAATAAAGTCAAGTCAAAAGGACATTGCACTTACTGCTTTCACATCTCTCTCCTGTAAATCCTGGAGGACATGTGCACTTAAAGCTTCCTACAAGGTTCTCGCAGGTCCCTCCATTCAGACATGGGTTGTTTAGACACTCGTCTGTATCTACAAAGGAAAAAGACAAAACGTTTGATTCCTGAACTGACTGTAAAATCTTAACCTAGACATACGTAGCTAAATTAAAATGAATCCAAGTTTCTTCAGTAAACACTTAATAAATGTGTAGAGCCAAAATTAAGATTTTTGGTGCTGAGACTACATATGCTTGAGAGTTTTGATCTACACCTTATAACAAACAGACTTACCATTATCACAGTTTCTGCCTGATCTCCCTGGGGGGCACTGACAGATGTATGAGCCCACAGTGTCAATACAGGTCCCTCCAAACTTACAGGGGTTACTTTTACACTCATCATGGTCTGTAAAAAGAGGAAAATTCTCCAGACTCAGATTTATTCATATTTCAAATTACGTTGAAAAGATTCAGCAAAATCTTTCACTCACCTAAGCTTAAAGCTCAATTCCATATGGCTGTTACTTACTGTATTGACATAGGTTGCCTTCAAATCCTGGTTTACATTTACAGATGTAGGATCCTGGTGTGTTCTCACAAATTGCATCATTGAGACAGGGATTATCAATCAAACATTCATTTATATCTGAAAGAAAAAAAAAATATGAGCAGTGTCTGTCAAACAAAGAACTGGCATACATCTTTTCTTTTATCTAGGACACACTGTTCACATTTTAAAAGTATAACTGTTATATTGAACTACTGGCCAAAATTCAGGAGTTTTCTTCTTTTTTCATGACCAAACACCAACTTTATTTCAGTATCTTTGTTTGACTTACCAATGTGACAATATTTCCCCTCCCATCCAACCTGACACTGGCATGTGAAAGACCCTTGTGTGTTGATACAGAGAGCATTATTCTGACACAGGGTGGCATTCAGGCACTCGTTCTTATCTGAATTAGGAAAAAACAATGCCACTTAACCAATATATACTTTGATCCATTTTCCCAGGTACCCCAATTCCTTACTTAAAACACTGGAGAGATACTTGGACATTTTTCCAGACGTATTTTGAAGTATAAAAGAATAAATTTATTTAATGTACACACTTAGTAGTTTGAGTTAATAGTTGTTTTTTGTCATTCTTAACGAAGGCTTTTTCATTAACACACACTAAAATTGTTTGAAATTTTCAAGTCTCGACAACATTACCTTGTTCACACATATCCCCTCTCCAACCTGGTGGACATTCACATCTAAAACCTCCAGGTGTGTTGATACAGGTAGCACCATTTTGGCACACCTGCATTTTACACTCGTCAATATCAATGGTACAGTTCACCCCCTCCCAATGTTCTGTACATCTACATGTGTAACCGCCGAGTGTGTTAATACAGAATCCTCCGTTCTGACAAATTCCCACAAACTCAATACACTCATTGATATCTGAAAATATGACATATATATCTTATGAAGGCATAAATCAGGTAGTTTTATGAGGGTACGAATAAATATTTGAAGTTTACAATTAAAATTTTCATAATAATAACATTGGGGAAAAAAATTTCACCATTTTCGTCAACGCATCCACCACAGATGTTTATGCTTGCATATTGACTATAAGAGTTATCTCCCCTAATTGAGAATAAATGTACATACATCTCTATTACAATATATTAAATCTATGGATATAATATTTAATGAGTGCTATGTATAAATGATGTATTGATATGACTGATGTAATATGATATAAGTGTTATTTTGTTTTATTTCAGGGCTATTTATTTTGTTCACTTGAAAATTTTAGGCCCTGATGGTGTCTGAATAAAGACATGAACTCCAAAAGACTTGTTCATTTATTCAACCACCTGTTACAGAAAAAACAATTCTCACAATTCAAGAAATTTCATTAAACCTTACCCATAGTGCAGTATTCTCCTGTGAAGCCAGGGGGACATTTACACTGATATCCCCCATTGATGTTGATACAAGTTCCTCCATTAAGACAAGCATTGGGATTCAGGCATTCATTCTTGTCTGTAAATATCAAATGTAAAAGATAAGCCTATAATATTCACTGCATGCACACAAAGCTCTGTCCAAATTTCTCATGAATCTTTGTCCATATCATTAATAGGTGAGTAATACAATCATCTGCTTAAATTCTCTACTCTTTTGACAAATTCTTATATTGTCCTAGAAGTTTTCTATAAAATTATGCAGATTTATGTAGAATTATGTAGATTTATGCACCTTTGTCACAGAGGGGACCTTCCCAGTGAGGTGGACAGATACATTGGAAGGATCCTGGGGTGTCTATACACCTAGCTCCATTCTTACAGGGATTAGACAGGCATTCATTCACATCTAGAGAAAGAAACAAAATCAATAATAAACATTTCTTTATAAATTCAATCTACTTTAAAGAGAGAGATAGAGGGGGAGAGGGAGAGAAGGAAAGAAAACAGAGAGGGAGAGGGTGATTAATCTACAGCTTTACCTCCTGTACACAGTTTTCCAGAATAACCCTGAGGACAGATGCACTCAAAAGACCCATCAAGGTTTTTACAAGTTCCTCCATTTCGACAAGGGAACTGCAAGCATTCATTTACATCTACAAGAAACAAACATAATTGATACAACTGTTAATTCACTTAAATACAAAAATCATAGCTTTTTCTATTCTTAGTAGAAAATATACAATTTCATATCTTGATTGATAATGATATTCCTACCTTCATCACAGAGAGCTCCCATCCACCCTTCACTACACTGACAGGAAAAGGAACCGGGGCTGTTGATACATCGGCCACCATGGAGACAAGGATTTCTTAGACACTCATTGATATCTGTACAATTAGAGTAAAATTTCAGTAAATCTTTAAGTCAAAAAGTCTCAGAATAAAATAAAAGAAAAAAATTAACTCCTTATACTGACCAATATCACAGAGTGGTCCCTCCCAGCCCAGAAGACACTGACACACAAAACTTCCCAGGGTATTCTGACAGGAGGCCCCATTTTTACAGAGGAACATAGGACATTCATTTACATCCTCACTACAGGTGGGTCCCATCCAGCCCGGGGGACATCGACAGATAAAGGAACCGTCAGTGTTAACACAGGTCGCATTGTTCATACATGGGTTCATCAAACACTCATTTATATCTGCCAATAAATAAAGTTTACAATGATTAATTAAAAACAGTTATTCAATATTATTGTAAAATCTTTCTATAGTGATATATATCATATTTTATAAATCTCCATATTAATAAATAGTAAAGAAACGAATTACAACATCCACACTACTGACCTATACGACAGCCATGCCCCGTCCACCCTGCTGGACAATTACAGGTGTAGTTTCCAGCCAGATTGATACACTGTCCACCATGTTCACAGACACTGTAAGCTAGGAGGCACTCATTTACATCTGAAAAAAAGCAGCGAAACTCAAAATTTTTACTTGAAAGTTATTTTCCAAAAGAGTAATTGTTTGGAATAAAATCTACCAATAATAGAAGCAAATAGAGACAAAATACAGGTTTAAACAAGATATCTACTGGCTATAATGCTAATTAGACTCGTAAAATGTGAAACGTAAAATAGATCCACAATGCCATTATAAGATAATTTCATTCAATTGCATTCAGTGGTGTAAGAGGAGTTGCAGTTAAGAGATGGCTATCCTCCAAAGTGAAACAGATGGACAGACACCCTCATCACTATATCCCCCCCCCCTAATTTTCAAGCAGGGGGTATAAAATTGATGTACAGAATTATGTGTCTTGGTGAAATTGGAAATTGGACCAAAACTGTAGGAGGAATAGTGTTTTGACATTATCTTGGTAAAGTCTTGTAGGATACCAAATTTATAGGAATTGGACCAAAAATACAGGAGTAAATGCATTTTGAATACTACTGACAGATTAACAAAAAGAAAGACTGAGCATACCTATTTGACAGTTTTCTCCTTGCCAGTACTGTGTGCATCTGCAAGTGTATGAACCATCTGTATTTATACAAGTTCCTCCATTCTGGCATGGGTTTCTCTCACATTCATTGGTGTCTGAAAATTAAAGATTATAACATCATTTACAAAACTTGTTTTTTTTTATCTTAGCCACAAAGAAAAAGAAAATTTTCTGTTGGTTTTAAAAGATTAAAGGAAAACAAGATCATTTCAGCTTTTACTTTAATATACAGGTATTAACAGAAAAAGATCTTGAAAACCCCTTACCATTTCTACAGTCTTTTCCTGTGCGTCCTGGTTTACACTGACAGACATAGGAACCAGGTGTATTGATACAGGTCCCACCATATAAACACGGATTCAGGTTACACTCATTAACATCTACCAAAAAAGACAAAACAAATAGGATCAAATGCCTCAATACTGTAAAAACAAAAATATTCATTGGGAATTACATTCCATTTATATCAAATAATGAAATTAAATGTTAAAACAACAAAATTTAGTCCACGTGAAATCACTTAGATCACAAATTTACAATATTTATCCCCATCAAAGTATTTCATTTCTGGAATAAATATCATGATTAAATCACCATTACTAACCTTCAGAGCACAAGGGTCCCTGCCACCCATAACTACACTCACAGTAAAATGAGCCGTGGGTATTCCTACATGTTCCGTTGTTCTGACATGGATTTTTTTCACATTCATTTCGATCTGTCAAAAAGAGAAGTCAACATTCTTTAATCCCTGACACTCAGATTCTAAAAATAATGGTAAAAAGAGAAGATAATTTTAACTACAGTAGACTAATTTGGTTTGTGTAAAATTCTATCAACTTGAATATGGTCTACATCTCCAAACAAAGAAGGCATCTAGCCATCAATAAAAAAAACATTTTTCCAACTTATCAGCATTTTTAAATTTGTCAAATCTAAAATAAGCAAATTTTTTAATGTGCATTGAAATTCTCTTGCTTAAGAATTGCCAAACTAATTTCCACTTTTTCAGTAGTCTTTGCATTTATGCGTGTGTTGACTATAAATTGGATTTTACTCAATCACAGACACTGACCTAGCTCACAAGTTGGTCCGGTGAATCCAGGAGGACATATACACTGGAATGACCCATCATTATTCATACAGGTACCACCGTGTTTACAGGGGAAGTACATGCACTCGTCTTTGTCTACAAAATAAAGTCAAAATATCAGATGTGATATAAATTCAAATCAATGTGTACCAGGAATATGATATAATACATAACAAAGTATTCCAGATCTCTTAAAAAGTTTTGACCAGTATACTGCAACTGGTATCAAACAAAACACAGCAGTGATTTCCTGTTATCTCTCACCTCTGTTGCAATCCTTTCCGATCCAGCCCTCCGGACATTCACATCTGTATCCACCCATCAAATTGACACAGGTACCTCCATGTAAGCAGGGGCTGAGGGTCAGACATTCATTGATATCTGCAGAAATCAAAATGAAAGTTGAATCAGTCTTATATCAAATCAAATTAAAAGACTTTCTCACTGAATCAAGTAGATAAAAGATAATTCTATAAAACTGATGCATGAACAACTATCAAATAAAACATGAGAAGAAGCATCTTAAGACTGACTTTCTCATTTAACAATCTGGGGATATCATTATCAGCAACACAGAAAAAGCTCCTCTGCATTTCTACAGGTTACCTTTTTCGCAGTATTTTCCTTCAAATCCATCCCTGCACACACAGCGATATGATCCATCCAAGTTTTGACATGTCGCGTTATTCTGACATCGAATCATTCGGCACTCATCTAGGTCTACAATAACATTAGAGAAAAATACTAAAAAACATTATTCATTTCTTAAATATTCATCAAATTTGAGTACCTTCTCAAATACTTGCCTAATTCACAGTTTTTGCCTGTGTACTGTTCTGGGCATTCACATATATAGGAGCCATTGGTGTTCTTACAAATGCCACCGTGAATGCATGGGTTGTTAAGACATTCGTTAACATCTGAAATCATACAATTACACCACAGTTAAAATCACAAACTTCACACTGGAACATCACATTAGACTTTCTACAACCATGGTCTAGTCCTAAAGCATAAGATGCATTTAATTTGAAAATGTCAAACAAGAGCATATCTGCCTTCCTACCATCTTGACAAATATCTCCGGTCCAGCCCATTTTGCACTTGCATCTGAATGAACCTATTGTGTCTCTACAAGTTCCACCATGCAGACAAGGGAAGTTAAGGCATTCATTTTTGTCTGTCATTAAAAAGAAAGAAAATTAACATCAATATATTACAGATTTTGCCCGGACAATGGTCTGTTTACAAAAACACTGGATCAGGTGACAGGTTTTGTCTTTCTGTTATAGTAATATATTCCCACTTACTCCTCTGACATTGATTTCCCATCCATCCTGGTGTACACTCACAAAGGTATCCTCCTTCTGTGTTGATACACTTGCCATTATTTAAACAGGGATTGCTGTCACATTCATTGGTGTCTTGGAAAAAAAAAAGCAGAGAAAATAATTACATATTGGTTCTAATTTTAAAGCGAAATAGAATTTTTGTGTTTATGAAAAAGAAAAGAAAACTATGTTACCATTGTTACATTGTGGCCCACTCCATCCCTTTGCACAGAAACATTCATAACTTCCATACAGATCAAAGCAGGTTCCTCCATTAAAGCAGGGGTACACATCAGCTTTACACTCATTGACATCTGGAAAAAAAGGAATAATTTACTAAAAAGTTTAATCTATATCCCTATGTACATGTACATCAAATTTGTAAGGAATCAAGCCTAAACTAAAATATTGACTCTGAAAATCTTTTACAATGATTTTACAAATCTTAAACTTACTTTCTGTGCAGTGTTTGCCAGTGAAGCCTGGGGGACAGATACATTCATAGGCACCACGAAGGTAATTACAGGTGCCCCCATTGTGGCAAATGTCAGGATTCTCCGTGCAAATATTCACAGCTATAAATAACATCAGTTTGAAGAAATTACATAACCCAAAATTGAGATTAATGATAAATGCAGTTTTGCTTTTTAAAGAAAATAATTTACATTTAAAACAATACATCAGACCTGAATCATCACAGAACGAGAGCTATAACTTACGAGTGTCACAATATTCTCCTGTCCAGAGATCTGTACATTTACAGAAATAGATTCCATTCCTTGAGATACACTGTCCATCATTCAGACATGGAGTGTGTAAACAGGACTGCTCTGAAATACAAGATAATAAAATCATTTAATATAGACATTTATGCACTATCAAACTCTCCCAATATGTGAATAAAAAATAACATAGCTAAGAAAAAAACATAAAAACATGTAAACATATCCTTTGAACACAAGAATATCACACTTTGACAGAAATACAGATTTTTTTCCTTTTAATTTTTTTTTTTGTTGAAGTTTTTAATAGTTGTACACAGACAAGCCCTTACCAATGTCACAGTGCTCTCCCTTGAATCCTGGTAGACAGGTACAGTTATAGCTACCCATTAAATCTGTACAGGTGGCTCCATTCTTACAGACATCCACCATCTCTATACACTCATTCTTATCTGTAAAATGTAAAGAAAAGTTTCAATTTAGCAAAACATTTATACATCAATCCTGCAAAAAAATTTGTATCTATACTCAAATCAGTTGTACCAATGATATCTTTTTAATATCTAAAATCTTGACTATCTTACATGAACAAAACTACATGTATTGTGCTTTCTCATATTCAGAACATTCTTCAGAGAGAGAGAGAGAGAAAATAATTATGGTATTGAATCTTTAACATGTGAATCCTTTTATAAAATAGATCTACAAATTCTTACTTAATTCACAATGTGGTCCCATCCAGCCTGGCTCACAATCACAGATGTCGTATCCTGGCATACTGATGCAATGTCCATGTCCATGGCAGAACTGAGCATCCAGGCAGTAATGGATATCTGAAATATATACCAATATCAAATAATAGAATGGTCTTCCACTGAAAATGGAAGATCCTAATCATAATCATATACTGTAAATGGAATATGAAAATTGATTGAAAAAAAAGTCTTCCTTCAGAAAAGGGGAGACAACTACACAAAATATAAAATATTTAAAGAGATTAGTTAATGTTCTATACTTTGGGGGTCAGGAGAACTTGCGATTTCATTTTTATTCAATCTTTTATAAAAGTTGTGTGCTACATTTATTAATGTCTGTGAAGTACATTTCTATATACAGTTGATAGACTTCTGTAGAGGTACTTTTTTCTGCTGGGATTAATAAATGCTATGTAGGGGCCACAAATCTACCACAAAAATTTGTCACAAAGTACTTTAAGTGCACATACAACATTTAATGGCAATACAAGAAATCTGCGCAATTTTTTAACCATGGATTGAACAGATATTGTAATCCCGTGGAATTATGATTACGCTGAAAAATGTATGTTTACAGTATTTTTCTGAACATTTACAATTATATCCTTATCCTCTGGTAATTATATTCCTTACCAACTGAACAGAATGGTCCTTCCCAGCCTTTGGCACAGATACACTCAAATCCACCTAGAGTATTGTTACAGGTTGACCCATGTAAACATGGGAAATTCAAGCATTCATCAGTATCTGTCAAAAAACGAGAGAGAAGAGTCTTTAATTTCTGCTTCTTTTACCCACGAAAAAATTGTCAATTTTTTCAATATCATATTGTTCTTTTTAGCACTTTACTGGAAAGTTTATTTGTGGCAAATTTTACTAGGAGGACTCAAATTTTTTCTTCTGAACTTTGACTAGCTAGAATTAGAATATACATGTAATATGATAAAGAAATGAAAAATGTCTCGCTGGAGGTTCAATGTATTTTTAAGCCACTGAATCAGAATCATAAAAAAGCCGATACCATTAGCACAGTTGAGTCCCGTCCATCCTTCTTTACAATTACAGGTATAGCCACCAGGTGTGTTGATGCAGTTGGCTCCATGCATACAAGGATTGTTCAAACATTCATTTATATCTACAAAATATTCCATTTTCATTACATGTATTTATCAAAATAATGTACGAGAATAAAAACACCTATGATTTAGTGGAGACTGATTAAAAAAACAGAGTTTAATTAATATGGAAATGAAATTCAACGTCTGCTCTTAAAAGTGGGTTAGTATTTGTAAAACTGCTGAATTGATTAGATACACATAGATGTTTTCCCCTTTCTGCAGTTTTCAGTATTGTAAATGTTGTAAATTTTGTTTGTCAGTAATTTGAGCTTTTTGTCAGTAATTTTATGTTGGCAGTACCCTTGTTCGATATTGCTATGTACATGTCACAACTTCTAAATATAAATTGCTTTTTATTGTTAACATCTGTCTTATTAACATATATCATACTTAGATAACAATGTAAGTATAAGTGTACAGTATTTCAGTATCTTTGATGTCTTTATGTGCATCCTTCTCATTGCTAATGCATTCAAACATAGAAAAAAAATTTCAAGCGTAAACATGTACATGGAAACTAAAATCTGTGACAATTACAGTTTTTCTGTAAGAGTGAATGCCTCTGGCAAAGGAATTACTGATACAGACTCCTGTTAAATCTACATTACAGAAAATTAGTCTTCCAGTTAAGAAATCCTTCGGTGACACAGAATTAATATGTTAACAAGAAAACTGTTAATGACACAAAATAAACTTTTCCAAGAAAATTGTTAATGACATGAATTTATGCAGTCTGATCATACCTATCACAGCTGAAATACAAGGGACATTAAACTATAGCTACAAAAATCTACTGTAAAACTGGATTCCACTAATTAACAGGGGTGAGCATGGTCAAGTCAATTTTGTCATAAAAAAAAAATAAACTTGGCTTTTGCTTCAAAATCTTGAATAATATTGCAGTAAAGGGATTTTTTTTTTTACCCTTTTCACAGAGGGGTCCTTCGAATCCTGGAGGACACCTGCACTTGTAGGAACCATCTGTGTTGATACAAGTGGCACCATTTGCACACAGATTCATGGTTATGCATTCATTCACATCTGCAAGAGAAACAGTACAGTTTGAAGTCACTATAAAGTACCTGTGCATTTTATTATGTTTAAACTGCACTTTAATTGTGTTTTTTTAACCAGCATTTCCTATTTGTTCCTGCATAAAAACTGGATCCACCACATCATTTTTAGCATACCTATTCCACAGTTTTTGCCCCTCCACCCAGGGGGACAATCACATTTGTAGGATCCCTCTGTGTTGAAACAGGTGCCCCCATTTTTACAGATTCCTGGGAACTGCAGACATTCATTGGTGTCTGAAAGGTAAGTACATATACAATTTCAAAATTCTACAAGACAGGCTCAGAAACCTAAAGGCAGAGAGGATGCATACAAAACATTTTGATGGACTCTGATAAATGCTTGACCTCCTCAACTCTTTTCTTTAATATTGAAGTAAAAAACCTTTTGAAATTTTTTTACTTCACATATAATGTACATCTCAATGATATTTCTATGATATATACATGTATATGTTTTATATAAAGTTTGACAGATATATCAATATTACCATTTCCACACATCTGGCCAACAAATCCATCAGGACAGACACACGAGAAGGATCCCACTGTGTTGTAACAAGTCGCTCCATTTAAACAAGGATTTCTCTTGCACTCATCCTCATCTATAATAATATCTCAACCCATAAATACTTGTTATACATGCAGTTAACAGGTCAAAATTTACAATTTATACATGTAAGTACATGCAACTTTTCAGTACAAGTTAAGAATTTTACTTTAAAGGTAAAGCCAGACCTATTTCACAGTTCTTTCCTGTCCAACCATTAGGACACCTGCACTGATATGAGCCTTGAATGTTGATGCATGTACCTCCATTGGCACAGGACATTTGTAAACACTCATTGAAATCTGAAAACAAAAGTGATAAATACTTGTTATTAAGATGAACATACTGTAAAAGATTTCTATCTTACAGGACTTACTCTACTTTCACAAAACAAATGCACTGTATTTATCATCACACAAAACTGAATTTCATTACAACATAGACAACGACAAAGGTAGAGCAAAAATCCATCAAATATCAATAAAAATAAGATTCAACTTAACAGATTTCTGAAGATATTTGTGATGTACTGAAGCTTCTCAATAATTCTTACCCTCCAGACAGTATGGCCCAGTCCATCCTCTCGGACAACGACAATAAAACGACCCGTAAGAGTTGATACAACTTCCATTATTGAAGCATGGGTTCCGCAAGCATTCATCAATATCTTTACAAATAAACAGAAACAACTTGTTTCAAACAATTTACAAAAATCACTTCCAGTGAAGAGTTATGTTCTTATGTATACCAGGACAAAGCACAATTATTGTATAGATTTTCAGTGATTCCATACTCCTTCACAAAGATATTAAAACTTGATTTTTTTTTAATCATTGTAGACTGCTTTAAAATGTGAATTTTAATATCTGATCCAAAAACCCTGAAAATTCCTACCCATTTCACAGTTGGTGCCTGTCCAGCCATCCTTACACATACAGGTGTATCCCCCATTGATGTTAAGACAGGTGCCCCCGTGTTTACACGGCGAAAAGAGAACACACTCATCCACATCTGTTTAATGTTTGTCACATGATATTGAAAGAGTCAGTCACAAATAAAGTCATTTCATATTTCAAATTCAAAACTACTTTTGAACCAATTACCATAACAGTTTTCATTGAAAAATTTGGAATTTTCACTTTGATAAACATTTAAAAATATTACAAATGATAACAAAAGATTAGCAGGAGAAACAAAGTCTTCTTGTAAGTTCAATTCACTTTCATTAATGAGAGAGATCAATTTCTCGCATATCCTTCGCCATATGGATTTACTATCTCCCCTCAACTCACCGTCCATACAGTTATGTCCTGTTCGTTCTCGTGGACAGGTACACATGTAAGATCCCCGAGTATTCAGACACGTGCCATTGTACATACACGGATTTCTCAAACATTCATCTACATCTAAATCAAAGAAAAATATATGATAAAGTACACGTACATTACAAATCGCTATTAGTGCAAATCTCAACAAAACAAAATCCTTTTTTACAGTACATTTTCTAACGTGTATTGTGCTGACAAATTCTCAATACTTGCTACACTTATCTATTCTACTTCATATATAAACATTTAAATTAATAAAAATCCTGCTGCATAATCTGACTATACCTTAACATGTATATATTCAAAATGTACATGCCTAGTTTTCCTAATAAGAAGTTAAGATCTTTTAAATTTTACTTCATTAGTCCTATCGAAGTTTCAATGTTTACCTGTTGTACAGTCAGGGCCAGTCCAGCCTTCCTTACATTGACAGAGATAGGAACCATCAATATTCTGACAGGTCCCACCATTTCTACACGGCTGCATTGTATAGCACTCATTCACATCTGAAAATTTACATCAGATTAATTATAAACATTCCATTTTAAGCACACAGAGAACAATTTATTCAGCTAAACTACTCTAAGATGTAATCCACTAGTCTAATTAAATCGCAGGCTGAGAGGCATGTTTCATTTGATCAGACCTATATTTTAATTACTTAATACTAAAATGCATGCCTGATAAAAAGTTCACAATTGCAAAAGTTGAATTTCTGATTTGACTTTTAGAAAATAGTGCAAATATATACATGTACATGTAAAGTATGCCAAACTCCACATCTGAGTGAAGTTTCAACTACTGTATACAGGGTAATTAATGCCTTCATTTTATTTTTGCCCCATATTGTATTGGCTGGTGCTCTATTTTTAGATATTTTTTTCCTTCAAGCTTTGACAATATGGTAAAATGCTTTATTATAATAAATATTAATTTTTTTTTAAAAACAAAAACAACATTTAATAAGCAAGTTATCTTGTAAATATTATGAATAAATAAATTATAAATTAATACTAATGCATGATTAGTAGACGAGGTAGTTTAAGAAGGGTTAATGTACAATTTTTGGGGTTTATTTTCTTACCTTTTTCACAATTCTTTCCCATCCAGCCAATAGGACACTGACAAGTGTATCCCCCTTCAATGTTAATACAGGTAGCGCCATGAAGACAAGGGGGGAAGCTGTTGGAACACTCATCCACATCTAACAAAAAAAAAAAACCCAGACAAATATACTCTACAAGTCCACATACAGAACAACATTCACTGAAATGCCATGTATCTGTATATTATGGACCTTACCTATCTCACATCTCTGTCCTGTCCAGTTAGGGGGACAATTACACCTGAATGAACCCATTGTATTGAAGCAGGTGCCTCCATGTAGACAGGGGTTGGATATCAAACATTCATTAATGTCTATAATGAATAAATACATACAGAACTAATATAGACTGTGATTTCTAACCACTCTTTTCAACTTAAAACAATCTGTAAATTATGCCTTTTGATGTATAAAACTTACTGTTTCATTCCTAAACTAAGATGACTTTAATCTAAAATCAACATTTTTTTTCCTTCTTGTTAGAATACATTTAATAAGAAGATTATCAAAGAAAAGATAACTCCTCAATAAGATACTGACCAATTTCACAGTTGTGTCCCTTCCATCCCTCCTTACAGCGACATCTGTAGGAGCCGTGGGTGTTAACACATGTCCCCTCGTGTTGGCAAGGGTTAGCTCTCTCGCATTCGTTAGCGTCATTCTGACAATACTCCCCTGTGTAAGCCTGTGAGCATTCACAGCGAAATCCATCCTCCAAATCTATACATCTTCCTCCATTCATGCATGGGTTTGTCAGACATTCCTGGATGTCTATATACACAAAAGAAAATTAATATGAATTTATGTATAGTCTATGCCTCAATCAGTCTGATCTTTAGACAACTGTAAACCTTATAAATTTGTTAATCAATTCACAAGCTAGAGGCTTCTTTCAACCTTCATTTTCAATACATGTACAAGGGATTTATTAAATAAATCTAATTTTATGCTAAGAAGATAATTATGTTTAGTGTTTCATCTTTCAACCTTCATTTTCAATACATGTACAAGGGATTTATTAAGTTAAATCTAATTTTATGCAAAGAAGATAGTTATAATGTTTAGTGTCTTCTAAAATTGTATTAGGAAAATCAATGAAAACTGTAATTGTTAATTCATCCTGCTTCCAGCCAATGTTTTTGATCCTATACTTACTAATTTCACAGTAGTCACCTCCCCTTCCTGGGGGACAGATACAGTAATAAGATCCATCAATGTTATTACAGGTGCCTCCAAACTGACAAGGGGTGACCAAAGTCTCACACTCATTGATGTCTGCAACCAATACAATGTAAAAGATATTGTAAATGAACATCTTAAATCTGTTTAAAAGTTATAGGCATTTATTAGCTCCTAAGCAAGTCAAGAACTAGTTTCAGAATACTGTATATGTTTGTGTAAACCTAAAATATCCTTTCTAAATTTTTCTACCACTTCATGATTTCTGGACAATTACTGCTCGATTCCATGTGGGAAAGTCTATGACTTATTTACTTCACATTCAGATGAGTGACTAGGTTTCATCTTGAACATTCCTGGGAGTATATTTACCTATATCACAGTGTACCCCTCTCCATCCTTTAGGACATATACAGATAAACGTTCCATTTCGATTGTCACATGTTGCACCATTCAGACAAGGGTTTCTGTCTTTTGCACATTCATTATAATCTGCATGACATATCAAGGAAAATAAGTTGAAAATAAGCCTAGTATAAGTACCACATGTAACAATTTATAATCTACAAACGCAAATGCATAAGGGCTAAAGCTTTGTGCTCTACAATATATAAAACCGAAAGCTTTGACTTTCTAATTGGAATGTTTTTTTCCCCAATACAGCACCATTAATTAATCTTCTAGCCATTGAATAGTAGAATTAACATCAATATCTACCTATGTGACAATGCTGGCCTGTCCAACCCTCTCGACAAGAGCAAATGTAGGATCCAACCTTGTTAATACATTCCCCTCCATTGCGGCAGATGCTCACGTTTAGGCATTCATTTACATCTGGTAAATTAAAAATTTAGTTGATGTTATTCACAAATAGCAATGCAAATTCATCATACAAATGGCCAGATAAGTCATGCACATACTAGATTTCTTTCAAAATAAAATTCTTCACAAAGTAACTGAATAATAGAAATTAAACAACAAAAGAGATAAACATCAGTAAACATCTGTGAATTCCTAGTGAGAGATCTAGGAGAATGATAAGCCCCACTTACCAAAGTCACATATAGGTCCAGTCCATTGTGGTGGACACATACACTTAAAGGACCCCACTGTGTTCACACAAGTTCCCTTGTTTCTACATGGGTATCCCTTACACTCATTGTCATCTACAAACAAACACACATACATTATTAAATATTAATGTAAAAATTTAACATGAGCACACATTGACAAGTAAGTATGGTTTAGCACCTAAATAAATCAGTAGCTCTTGGTACCAAACAGTAAATTTTCTACCAAAATATCCAATTGTATGCATTATTAAATACTGGATAATTTAAGACTTATTTAAATTAAGAAATTCAGTGAAAATTTGAATGCAAGTATTGTAATGTGCCAGTGGAAAACAGGTTAAATTATTTACTTTATGTTTATTTAAATTCTGTTGCTTTCTATGTCATTATAAGTTTAAATCAAATAAATAAAAAATTCATAATTCATCTTCAGTTAATGCTGTACACTAAATCAGTGAGGCAGAGATTTAAGAGTGTACAGTAATAGGTAATTATACTTACCTTCAGTACAGTTGATGCCCGTCCAGCCCGGGGTACAGAGACACTTGTATGAACCATCAGTGTTGATACACTGACCTCCATTGCCGCAGGGATTGGCCATCAAACATTCATCAATGTCTACAACGTTACAAACACATCTCTGAATACTCAAAGCATTTGAATACTTAGAAATAGTCAAAATCATTTCTGAAAGTTTAGTCCAGCATTAAATCCTGATGAAAAATAATTTGTTGTTAGAGTTTCTTTCAAAATAGAAATCCACATTATTCTGCAATTTTTATTTTTAAGTAAAAGCATATGCATGTGTATTTATATAAAATCATACAACTTTTTTTTTCCAGTTTTTCATTATAATTATTTTTAATTGTGAGAACTTAATACCCACCGAAAATCTAGTTTTGGATTTTATATATACATGTAGGTGCAGAGCTGACTATGAATTGAAATTCCTGCATCAATGCAAGAAAGCAGGATTGACAAAAAGAATGCCATGCTTTCTATGATGACAAGTTTTTCTCCAGAATTATATTTTAGATAAATTTTATTTTATGAAATTGTAGATAAATTTCTTACCAATGACACACGTGGGTCCTGATCGACCTGGAGGACACACACACGTGAATGACCCAATTGTGTTGATACAAGTTCCCCCAAACATACACACAGCTCTCTCAAACTGACACTCATCCACATCTAAAATACAAACAAAAAAGCTTTATATAACATCTATGTCAAAATATGCAAACTTGTGTAATAACTTTGCCATCTAACACATTATTGTGGATGTACTAAGACATCCTATTTTGTTTCTTCAAATATACTGTGTGTTTTTGCAAACTTGTATAATATATCTTTACTATATTCTAGTATATTACTGTGGGATAAACTGAGACATCTTAATTTTTCATTTTTTCCAATATACTGTGATTCTGCGATCGTACCTAGAGTGCAGTTTGGACCTGTCCATCCACTTTTACAGCTACAGTAATAAGATCCAGGAGTATTGAAACACGTTCCACCATTCTGGCAGGGGTTGTTGAGGCATTCATTGTGCTCTGTATAGAAATTACAATCAAAATATCAAGACTGACATAAAGGTTTATATGACTGAGAACTCTATTCTTACAATGGCATTTTCTGGTTCCTTGTTCCATATTTTTATGCTCAAGATCTTTGTTATCTCATCTGAATGTACAGTATACCATGGGATCATTTTCATTCATAGTGGGGGTCACTGTTCGTGGGCAAGCAAAATTTTACTGGTTCATGGGGATGTAATTTCGTGGGTATCTTGTCTAAATACACAGCACATATACAGCACATACATATCATGGTACATTCAATGAATCAATACACTGACAAAATAATGCAGGTGTAAATTTGTGGGTAAGGATCACCCAAGATATCCACGAACATTGGTCCCCCAGGAACAATGATGATTCCACAGTAATAATGAGCTACTGGTGTCACATTTTTGGAACAAGTACTACTTCTCCTTTATAACGAATTACTGGAAAATATTAATTAATCGAGTAAAGTATTCATTTAATTCAAACTATTGAACATAAATATCAAGTTTACCCACAGTGATTACTAGCTCACTTTTTTTGGATTTCACACCGTTATCAAAAATTTTGATAGCTTTTATAAGTATGGGTATTCAAGACTGCAGCATTTAGTACAGTACATTAATTGGTCATACTTGAGACAAACTTAGGCTTTAAAGATATCCAAGTTATATGCTCTGATATCCTGCGTCATTGCTACTGACCTATCTTACAGTGGGGTCCTGAAAATCCACGGGGACAAATGCATTCATAGCTCCCTGGCAGGTTAATACATGACCCTCCATTCTCACAGGGCCTCTGCATACACTCATCCACATCTATAAATAGAATACATCTCATAGGAGTGGATCTTGGGTAGTGGTGAAGTTCCATTAATGAATAAATTCATGAATATTAGTCAAAATGGATGAGAAGAGAATCAATATTCAAAGATTTTCTTGAATTTGGGATTTATAGGAGTTTTTTTTTTTGTTTTTTGTTAAAAAATGTTTTTATCCATGTATGAATCACACATATACATGTATATGATTTATTTTCTTACCTATTCTGCATCTAGGACCTGTCCATCCTTTGGGACATTTACAAATATAAGACCCCAGTGTATTGGTACATACTCCCTTATTTTCACAAGGGAAGCTGGGACATTCATTTATGTCTACAATTGGAAAAAAAAAACATTATGCATTGACTGATTTACCAGCAAAAGAGAGTACATCTACATGACTTACTACAGTTAACTCAATCTGAAATTTAAAATAATGAGAAAGATTAATGATTTAATTAAATGAATGTTTTAACAAAATGAAAATAAAATGTCACCTCTTTCACAAATGTTTCCTTCCCATCCTGCTGTGCACTGACAAACAAATGAACCAGGTGTATTCAGACATGTTCCATTGTTCAAGCATGGATTCTTCAAACATTCATCAATATCTAAAGAGAGGTAAACAGAATATTCTTCTACTCTTCCACTTTACAGTTCATTGATATATAGTACAAAGTTTGATGTCTTTATCATCAAAGTATGCTAAATAATTTTTTTTGTAAACATTATTTTCTTGGATAAATTCCAAAACAGGGGATCAAGTAAATTAATCTAATAAATTAATTTATGCTTAGTTAATAACCTTTGATCTTTGCTTAGTTGTTAACCTGAAGGGATAAAAATAAATTGAAAATGAGGCTGACCTATTTGACACTCCGGTCCTTGCCAGTTTGGAGGACATGTGCAATCATACCGACCAACACTGTTCGAGCATATTCCATTATTTAAACATGGGGCACTTATACACCAATCATCTAAAAAAGCAATAATCATTCCATCAGTCGTCTTTAAATTTATTAAAAAAAATTGATTTAAAATGTCTGGATAATGTAAATTCAATCCATAATTAATAAACAAAACTGTTGCTGAAAAAACAGATCAATTTTCCCGATTTTGTAATTTGTTTTTTTTTTTTATTTAATACTAGTAGCTACAGCTTGCATGTTTAATTATCATAATACTTTCCTGTATGAAACCAAGAATAAAGACTTAACAATCTAATAAATTTTTTAAAACAAAATATTTCAGCAATGCCTACCAACAATTTCACAGTGAATTCCTGACCATCCATTGATGCAAATACACTGGTAACTTCCTGGTGTGTTCAAACATGATGCAGCGTTCCTACAGGGGTCATTAACACACTCATCAAAGTCTGAAAACAAAAGAATTCCCATTTAAAAAGTGTCAACTGATATTCAAACCATGTGCTACAGCATATTCCAGAAGTAAGTTGGAGGAGGGGGTAGGGGGTAGGGGGTGGGTAATGTTTGTAAAATAATTAAAAGCACACTGAGATACAAACTGCTACAAGTGACGACAGTTTACCCCAACAAAACACATTTATTCCCTGTCTTCAATTAACAAATTATTATCTGAAATAAAACACCTGGCTTTTTTCACTTTGACATTGACAAGTGTTTAGCAAAACTTTGTCAATAAAAGAAAAAGAAAGAATGATTATACTTGTTATGTTTGTTAATTTAGGGGGAAAAATGAGATACCCTTCCCACAGAGGGGTCCAGTCCATCCAGGGGGACAGCTACAGTAAAAGGACCCAAAGGTCTCCATACAGGTGGCTCCATTCAGACAAGGATTACTGGTACACTCAAACTCATCTACAAAAGTCACAGTCTCACAGAATCTCATAGTTTACAGCCCCATATATATTGTAACAGATAAAAATTTAGACAAATAAATTTTGGATTTTTCAAGTGTATTACTGTATACAGGGAAAATTTTGCCCCGTTTTATTTTCACCCCTACATAAAGATGGGTGAATTTAAAATGAGGCGAATTAAAAAAACACAATGTAATTTCTTAAACAGAACCGTGACTGGCAAATTAAAAACAGGGCAAAATTGTTTGCAAGTGTGAAAGAGCGAAAATAACCCTGTATACAGTACATGTATGAAACAATTTTTTTTTTTTTTAAATTCTACGTTTTGAGAATGAACAAAAGGAATATTTCTTGTGTACTAAACTTTAACATGACATATTATATGTATTAGGATTTTTCCCATCACAATTAGCATTATCATGAGATATAGAAATATTACAAAGGGATTTTTTAAAAAATATCCTGACATAAATCTTGTATTTTCAGCAGTGGTGAATTGAATGGTAGCCCTACCTCCTTCACAGTGCTTGCCCCTGAATCCAGGTAAGCACTTACACCTGTAGCCACCGTCCATCTCTATACAGGTGGAATTGTGTTTACAGGGCTTCAAAAGGCTACACTCAGGTATGTCAATGTCACATTGAATGCCCGTCCACCCTGGGTTACAGATACACCGGTAGGAACCCATCGTGTCTATACAGTCTCCGTGTCCCGAGCAGGGCAAGTCCATTGTTAAACATTCATTAATATCTATAAAATAAATAATTTCAATTGTATTACATTCTGAAGGTTTCATTTATAAGGTGAAATTATGGTATTCAAAAAAATATTTTTGTTCACTGGAACAATTCTAAATTCCAAGTACAATGACTGAATCAATATACATGTATTTCTCAAAGCCCCCCCCCCCCCCAAATCTCCAACCAAATAATCCTTACTTTTTAACATTTTTCTGTTCATTATACATGTACATTGTAAATGGGAAAAAGGAATAATTTGTGAGACTAACTAGACATTTTTACTAGCTTTACTTACTAATATCACAGTTCTGTCCCGTATATCCAGGGGGACATTCACACTTGTATGAGCCCTCCAACTCGATACAACCCAGCGAGTTTTTACAAGGATTGGTCAGACATTCCTTAACATCTATCCATCACAAGTACACAAATGATTAAAGTATATAATTAAAAAGGGATTCAAATCAATGAAGAAATAGAAATTCAAAAAATGATACTTTAAAATACTTTACAAAGTATCATTCTGTTAATAACTACAGGTAAAATATATATACATTTCCGAGTACATGTCTTTTACATTAACAAATGTTAATCATTCAAAAGGGTAAGAAAGAATTTTTATTACCCAGAGTGCAATTATCTCCTGTCCACCCAGGAGGACATGTACAGATGTATCCACCCATCAGATTACGACAAGTTCCTCCATTAGAACAAACATTATACTCAAGACATTCATGTATATCTAAAAAAAAAAAAAAAAAACATGAAGGATTTAATGATTATCAGTAAGGCAGAAAGGAGTACATGTACATAAATATGCAAAAAATGTACATAAAAAAAAGCAATACTTGACTAGTTTCACCGACCTCTTTCGCAGTATTTTCCTGTCCACCCTGTTGGACATAGACAGCGATAAGACCCTGGGGTGTTCAAGCAGGTGCCCTCATGTTGACAAATATTGTTTTTACATTCATCAATATCTAAAAAAAATTATATAAAATAAATTATCTTCCACACATCCACTTCAATTTGTCTTGAATAAAACATTATTACTCTCACAAACTTCTCTTTACCAATTATTTTACAACTTCACTGGTGCTGATTGCTTTCAGACAATATTCTGCAGTTACTCCTGTAGAATAACTTGTGTATAACTTACCAGTCTCACATAATGTTCCTGTCCAGCCAGGAGCACAGCTACAGTAGAAAGAGCCAGGTCTGTTGAAGCAGGTGCCCCCATTCTGGCAAATATTCTCCTGTAAACACTCATCAATATCTAAAAGAAACAAAAATGTTCACAATTCAATTATACACATGAGCAAATGTATTCTAAGAAATACTTCCATTAAAAAACTATACTTACTTGTACATATTAACACAGAGATAGAGGGAAAGGGAGATAACAGATTATGGTAAAAAAAATGTCATTGTCATAATTTCTTTTTCTGGACAATAAAGACTTTATTGTATACCTACCATTTTCACAGTTTTTGCCTGTTCTTCCTTCCACACACATACAGAAGTAGGAGCCTGGTGTGTCTACACATGTACCGCCGTACAGACAAATGTTCTGGACATCACACTCATTCTTATCTGAAAGGCACCATTCATACTTTGTATTAATTTCAATACACATCTGGATTTATAAGGATTTTAATTCTGTTCAGTCTTCACATCCATAAAAGAGCTTAAATTGAGCACATGGCGGGTGTGACTGGTTGGCAGGGGATGCTCACTCCTCCATGGCACCTGATCCCACCTCTGATGTCTTAGAGGTCCGTGTTTGCTCTGTTCTTATTTTGTAATGTTTAATGGACTTTTGAGCTCGAATATTGTTCGTTATCTCCACATATTTCATAGGTCTACTATTTAAAACTTAATATTTGTCATAATTAATGCTGTTAAACTCCTTACTGATTTCACAGTGGACTCCCTCCCATCCTGCATCACATTTACAGTAGTAGCTTCCGATGGTGTCCACACATGTTCCACCATTCATACACATGTTCATGTTACATTCATTGATATCTGCAAAAGAAAACAACATTTCAGCTCTGACTATTGTGCACATATTTTATATAAGTCAACATAAGAGCAATAAAATGGAGAAAATAAAAGTGGAAAGGTTTATAAGCAATCCTACATATATGATCTGAAAGGGCTTTAAATTTAACAATTAACCTTTTTTTCTGCATAGAAATATGCAGCCCTATATTGTCACATTTTTTTCATTTGTAACAATCCAAGGTTTTTATCCACATAAGTTTAGAAAAACTGATAAACCATTAGAAACACTTACTGATTTCACAGTTAGGACCCGAGTACCCAGGAGGACACACACAGTTATACCAGCCAGATATCGACTTCAGACAAGTGCCCCCGTGTTGACAAGGGTACCGCATACAGTGGTCAATTTCTGCAAATGATCACATGAAAACATGACTAAGTTATAAAGATCACTGAATATACTCGTACATCTATGGGGAAAAAATATTTCCATAACAATCTCATTATTGAATTACTTTAAAAGATTTGAAAATATCATTCAAGGAATACAACAAGTAATTTACTTTATCCTGAGCAATTTTTTTTCAATTCAATTAATACTCATTTCCTCTTTATTAAAAATATACATGTAAATTGCAAATCTTCCTCACCAAATGAGGGTCCCACTGGCAGGGTGGGGGTGGCAGTATGAATGGGGTGGTAAGTATGCTCCATTTCATGAGTCCAGTTTACAGGTTTCATCTGAATGACACAGGTTCCTGTCTCTAAAAACAGCTTCCCAAGATCTACGTAAGTTTTACTGCCAATCTTTTTGTTTGAAGATTTACTTTCCAGAATGTTGACAGCATTGCTTTGAAGGCCATTTGTCATTGTGTGGGCAAAATAAAGTCCAAACTGAACCTTCCTTGGTGTTACATATCTAAAGAACAAAAATACAAGAAATTTAAATACTAGAAATATATCTCCTACCTTTAAATATTGAAAAGCGAAAACTTTTTGTAATCACTGCAATCAAATGGGCCGCCTTACTTGAAGTCCTTAATATAGCATTCCAAAAAGTGTGGATGCAAAACACTGTCTGTATAACTTTTTTTCACCTAGGAAAAAAAATCAAAATTTGAAATACCATGTACATGCATATAACAATTATTAATTTTGTATCAAAGAACTTGTCTGTTTTAATTATACCATATTAATGCGTTTCAATGAGAGAATATTGTTGATTGCAGAATCATAACATAGTTCTTACATCTTTACAGAAGAGGTCCTGTTGTTGTTTGAACAGGTAGTTGGTTCTGTCGGAGAACTCTATAGGGATGCTCTGGTTGTACAGATCACATGTAAACCTCACCTCTGTGGCAGCTAATAAGTATTCACTAACTCAATACACAGATTTCATTTTGCCATTTTCCAACAGAAATAAGACAAATTTATTGATCTTTGATTTCTTTTATTAATTACATCTTGCAATTTTATTGAGACTTAAAAATTTTATTTAATGACAAAATGGTTGCTCAATTCTTACATAGTTCTTACAATACATAATGAAACTGTATAAAATTCTTACAATACATATTAAAACTATATAAAATTCTTACAATACATAATTTTGCCAGGCCCCAGAGTGCTGGGAAAGTCCACAGTTCCTGTGTGGGCTACATCAGTGGCTGTATGTACTGTGTAGTTAGTGACCTTCATATCAATGTGGTACCGATTCCAGATCAGACCAAGATCTCCCACATCCACCACCTCAAAGCCGTCCTTCAGTCGGTGAGGGGCCATGTCCTTGAGAACGTGGGTAATATTCTCCATCACATAGGATCCAATAGGTGTGTTAAAGAGGAGGTGGAACTTTACATTTGTTGGGAAGTTCCTGTAAATAAAAAAAAATTATGAGCATTTATGTCAGTACAATGCAGCCATAAAAACATGAGCTATGCATATTGATTTTCCAACAGAAACATTAGTTTTCATGATTTTACCATCTACATACTATTTCAGTTTCATATGGCATCAATTCTCAGTGCATTTGTTATATTTAAAAGGAATTGCAACTCAACAGACTGAAAACATTGAAAATGTTCATAAAATTAACATTAACTGCAACTTACGTGAATTCATCAATTTTACAGTCCTGTAAAAATTTGCCAACAGCTGTCCTCTCAACATAACGTCGAAGCTGAAAAATAGTCTCCCAGGTAAAACTAAGTAACACATAAATGTACATGGACGTGTATCATGTATGGATTTATTTGTTTATAATGATTTATCCATAGTATAAGAAAAATAAAAGATTAAAAGATTTCTCACAATTAACTGCTTAATGCTCAAGGTAAACCTACATCATCACAGAAATGAGCCTGTAAACTTGCAAACTTTGGTGAATTCCTATTGGCAAGATCAGAGGTGTACTGGAAGTCATAGAGTCCTGTGGTAATGTTAGCATAAGTGGCATCTGTAAAAGAAACAATTTCATCTGTTACATAAATTCAAAACCTGAAAATGGCAAGCTCGAAAATCTTGCACTATGCTGAAATCATCTATATTTGTCTAGAAACTATTTGAGCCCGACAACTTCAATGGATTTATTCACAACATAGTTTTTATGTATCCTCCTTCATGGTCAGTAATAAAGAGTTACTTCCCATTATTACACGCATGCACTTCATTTACATCTCTTAAATCTCAGAAATCTTTGCACATTTCTTTTTAAATATAATGATGAAAAGTTAATGTTAAGTTTGAAATTGAATTTTGAGGAGAGGAAATTAATACAGCTGGAAAAAAATATATATATATATAGACAAGAGGCTAGACTTCCATGAAACATAGTAAATTTTGTTTGTGCATTGCTGCATGCATGTATACATTACACAAATGAATAATAGGATGTAACATAGAATTGAAATCTAAAAGCTTTACCATATAAATTATAAATTGTGGAAGTGCCATGAATGTGTGATGGAAAAATAGTCAATCCTGGTGTGTTGACAAACACATTTGAAGTAATAATATCTAGAGAACTATGTAGAGTAGCGGGTAGGAAAAGCGTGGAGGGCATGATTGTAACGGCAGTACTCCAGACCACATCAAATCCGGTCTTATCCAGAATCACAAGGTCGTGACCCACCAGATAGGTGTACAGTTTGGTCAGTGCTTGAAGGTCTGTCTGTACAAACTCTGGGGTCCGGGATTTGATGAGTCCTTTGAAGTGTTCTGGTGAAAACACAGATGGATGTCGGAATCTAAGCTTGAACTTGGCCTTGGTATATAAATGTCCTGGATCTGGAGCCCTGTTAAATTTCCACATCTTATTTGTTTATATTAACAATATTCTTGGGTTGCAAGTATTCTTGGGTTGCAAATATGATGTTTTACATTTATATCTGAAAATGCAAGTACTGTGTAGTGCATTTTAACTTAAAAAAGGTACTCACATGTAATCAAACATTTTGCAGTCAATAAAGAAATGTTTCAGTGAAGATGACATGTAAATTTTCTCAATCTGAAAAATAAAAACTATCACATATAAAATCATCAAATATAAGCATTTGCATTCCATGAATCATTGTTTAAAGCAGTTTCTACATTGTTAAATTTAAAAAAGAAAAAAGAAACAAATTTAGTAATTCGATCTAATTAATTTTACATGTATATTTCAATAAAAGTAAGTATGTATTATATTTACTTACATCTTTACAGAATGCATGAGCATGCCTGTGAAACAATGCAGAATTTTCATCTTCTAGTCGTGGATCGTAAGTTAAATTGTATAGGTAAACTGTAATATCTGCTATGACAACTTGTTCCCCTAAAAGGCATTATGACGCAGACAATTGAAAACACAAAAATCATGACAAATATAACTCTGCAATTTTTTTAATAAACATAATAATGTAGAACCTTCATTACAGACCTGTCGGTGGAGGAATAGTCTTTGTGGGTTGAATGGTCGGGGTACCTCCAAGGTTGAGAGTAATGTTAAGAACATCTATCGAGGTCCCTCCAAGAGGTTCAATGAGGAGGTTCCCTATCATCCTTAGCTCCTTATTCTCAGGGCCCAGGACCCTCTTCGCATTGTCAATTATGATTTGTAATATGTCACTCCTCATGTTTTGGTAAGCTTTGCCTTTAAATCTCAAGTGGACAACCACATTTCTGGGGTCTTTTCTGTGTTGAAAAAATAAATATTTTTCTCAGTGTTCAGCAATTCAGTTTTGTATAAAGTATAATGTGCTTAGTAAATTCTGCTACATTTATCATACTGTACATACCCAAACGATTTTACTTGGCAGTCGTAATATCTCTCCCTCAGGGGACTTAACCGAAAGATCTTGTCGAGCTGAAAACATATTTTAAAAGATTATAAGATCCCCGCTGCACATATACATGCATGTTCATTTTTTTTTTTTTTAACAAAGAAAGTTTATGGATGAATTGCAATTTACAAAACATCATATGCTTACATCTCTACAAAATGGAACAGCGTAGGAGTTGAAGGCTAGGGAGGTGTTAATTTTAAGGTCACTGGTCCAATCAGTTAGATTGTATACACTCACTGTTAAATTGGTCAGAGTGGCATCTGGATAAAAGAACATAGGTAATCAGAGATTACAGAGCTCACCTCAACGAATGTTGTCTTTAAGTAAGGCAAAGTCCCACACTAAACTAATAATCTAGGAGTGTGCATCCCTAGATGCAACATTTATGCAATTTTGGTCTGATAGGGCTTGCAGTTACTTGGGAATAGACTTATCTGAAAACTTAAAACTAGTCACTCATCCAGAAAATGTAAGTCAAATCCAGCATCCGAAGCAAGTTTTGAGATTGTTCGTCCCTTGATGCATCATCCATGCAAGTTTGGTTCAGATAGGCCTTATAGTTACTTGGAAATGAGATCTGCTCCAAAAACTTTAACCTGGTTACTCATCGGGAAAATGTAGGTCAGATCCAGCATCCGAAGCAAGTCCAGTAGTGTGCATCCTTAGATGTATCATCCTTGCAAGTTTAGTCAATATAAGGCTTATAGTTACTTGGAAATGACATCCTCCAAAAACTTTAACATGGTCACTCATCCCAAAAATTTAGGTCAGATCCAGCATCCGAAGCAAGTCCAGTAGTGTGCATCCTTAGATGTATCATCCATGCAAGTTTAGTCAATATAGGGCTTATAGTTACTTGGAAATGAGATCTGCCCTAAAAACCTTAACCTGGTCATACTCATCTGGAAAATATAGGACAGATCCAGCATCCGAAGCAAGTCCAGTACTGTGCATCCTTAGATGTATCATCCATGCAAGTTTGGTCAATATAGGGCTTATAGTTACTTGGAAATGAGATCTACTCCAAAAACTTTAACCTACTCTCTCATCTGGAAAATGTAGGTCAGATCCAGCATCCCAAGCAAGTTCAGTAGTGTGCATCCTTAGATGTATCATCCATGCAAGTTTGGTCAATATAGGGCTTATAGTTACTTGGAAATGAGACCTGCCCCAAAAACTTTAACCTGCTCCAAAAACTTTAACCTGCTCCAAAAACATTAACCTGGTCATTCTTTAGCTGAAATTGCAGCATCTGAAACCTTGACTGGTACAATAAAACACACTAGAAGCATCCTCCATGCATCTCTGATTAATATAAGCCATAGAAGTACTTGAAAAGAAAACTGCTCCAAAAACCTTAACCTGGGACGCCGACGCCGAGGGTATGACATAAGCTCCCCCAACTTCGTTGAGGTGAGCTAAAAATTAAAAAATTATTCAAAATCTGATAAAAAAGGTTAATATTAAAGGATTTATGCTTTAAAAATCCTGCATTGCTATTATAATAAAACCTTTTTTGCTTTTCTTTTCCATTCACAGTCAATGAATATGGTATGTATAAACATACATGTAAATATTCATCTTTGAATCTTAATGAATGCATGAACAAAAGCAGATCTTCTTGCTTCCATTACTTCTAGAATATACCGGTATAAACACAACATCTAAAATATTCTCTTCATTACTATCTAAATATACCTATGATATCAATATGTGGTCCCCTTGTTGGCAGTACTGGAGGTTTAAGTATTTTATCGACATCAATGACAAACTCCCCAAACTTGAAATATCTCAGACCGTCCTTGTCTTCATAACCAGCATGTGCTCTCAGTATTTTCTCAATCTCTTCTCTGGTGATCTGACCACTAAACACAAGGTCAAAGAAAACCTTGGCTCTCTTCCCCTTGCTGGACCTATAAGTACATTTCTTATATGCTCATAACTGATGTTATAATAATACAGAGAATAGCAAATAAAGTGATGCTCTGTCAGATTAACATCAATTAATCCTTCTTAAATGTGTGAGGACCACTGAAGACAAAAGAATTTAATCTCTTTAAAATTGACAGCACTGTAGTCTTCACGACAAAATGTTCCATTGCATTTGTATACATAATTCACAGATGTATCACTTACCAGAAATTGCAGTAAGTTTGGATTTGTAATGGATGTATATAAACTTTAATTAAATCAGGAAAAATTAATTTTTTACCTTCTTGTGAGTTTGTATGAAAGATTTTACAATTGTAGTATCGAAAGGTCAGAAATAAGTTTGTCAGATTTTATTTCAAGAAATATATGTGGCTCAAGGTTCTTTGAACTTCATTTATATGTATAACCTTCATTTAAAGTTTATGCAAGAGCCATTAAAACTTCTCATTCATCATTCCATGTCCACTGTAGGTCATTGCTGGACAGGCAGTTTTTATGACCCACTCAATTACAACAAATGTGGACAGAAGGAGAGGTGAAAATTTGAATATTATTGCTATAAATATGATGATTCATCTCCAAAAAGAAAAATAAAGAAAGCAAGCTCTCCCTCACACAAGGACAAAAATAGAAATTATTCCAGTTTTTTACTTTCCTTGTTAAATCTAACACTTGCAGTGATTTGATCAGAGGGAATTTCCATGCCTTTACAACAAAGAAACCATGGCTCTTAACACATTACCTGTCAGCCTATTTCATGCTTGACTTTAATACCAGTATATGTACTTGTATTCACCAACTTTAAAGACGATGAAACATGTCACTATTTGATCATCCTTATATTTGTTCATTTCACTGGCCAAAACATATTTACTATATCCTTTTTTCATGAAACTGTAGGTACAACTTTAAAAAGACACTAATTCTAAATTTTGCAGTGATTAATTAAAACGTACTAATCAAAAAACAGTGGATTTAAAACAATAAAGAATTATTATACATTCAAATTTGACAATATTTGTCAATATAGTCATCACAGATGTTCAATTTATCAAAGAAGAGTTGGGTAATTGATATTTAATTTGATTTCATAAATAAGATGTGAAACATGTTCTTACACTAGTCCACTAGAGCACTTGCACATGATGGGTGAAGTTTCTGTCTGTCTACAACAAAAATTTAGAGGTGTTATAATGGAAACTTAATACATGTAGTAACAACACATGTGATACCCCCTCCCCTTTTCAATAAAAGAAAAAAAACATGAATGGAGGACCAAACTGAATCTTGAATTTCAAGTTCATGTATTTCCAAAATGATTTATCATTACTCCAAATAAATTTGACAGTATGAAAAAAAAATTAAATATTGAATTATGCCATGCAAGCTATTAAACCTCTCTATTTGGCAATCTGTGTCGATATCTAACCTATCTTGTTATTAAGCTTACTTGATCTGTCTGACAGCACATTCCTTGTACTTGCCAGCCAGTGGACTGTCTTTCAGGTACTTGTCAATCTAAACACATAAATATTAATAACTCATAAAAACTCAAAATACAGAAGTAAATTTGATATGACATGGTGTCACAGAGGAAGCAGGTACACCGGTCTTACAACAGATATTTTACATTATTCTTTAGTTGATAAACCTCATAAATTTGGTAAACCTGGGTTTATTGCCACAAGTAACAACAGGATGCACTCACATTCTTTCCTGAATAATTTACTTACATTTCAACGGTTTCAAGATACTCATGAACATGTTGAAAATTACCAACAATCTACCCTCTCCTCACCAATATGGAATTTTTCTTTAGTTACTACAGTAAAACAAGCTTATAGCCAAATGCCAGGGATGAGCAATTTAATTCAATATAAGTGTAATTCATTAAATCCAGCAAGTTTATATTATGTTTAAAAGCTATGAGGAATGCAGATCACTTTACTGTAAGCATGAATTTGTTATGTTTTGTTGTAACCCTGTTTTACTGCATAATATTCTTACAAAAGATGTAAATTTAAACTTTTTAAAAAAAAAATTTAAGGTTATAGTTCACCACAGTGGGCAAAGTTTAAGACAAATCACAGTTGAAGAATGAAAGTTTACAAAGGAAACAGTAATTTATCAGAATTATCTCCCTTAGCAGAGGGTCTTTGCTCCCTTAAAGATTCAGTTTCCTCAGATTTCTTTTTTTATTTCTAGGAAAGTGACACATGTAGTAATGATGAGTTGCCTACCTCTGTACAGAGGGGTACAGCCAGAGCCTGGGCCTCTGCTGATGACACATTCCTCATGGCTTCATTGTATTGTCTGTTGAGGATCGGCATGTTCATCCTGGCTTTGTAGACATCTGTAACCACAAAAACAAACATCAAAAGTCTGGGAAAAACAACAAAAGGATGTGGTCAAATCTAACAAACTGTTTAATAACTTAATCATGTTTAACAAGATTAATGAAGTAAAATTATTTTTTGTCTTCAGTTTTTGGATTAGTTAAATAAAATAATTAAACTTATCTTTTCCTGTACTTTACAGATATAATTGAATTATGTAGAAAATGAATTATGCATTCTCAATCTCACATGCTCATGGCATTCAATTTGAACTCATATGTGAGAAGCAATCTGGCGATAACAAGCACATTCAACTTAATAAGGGGTCAAGAACATACAATTTTCTGAGAGACTGTAGGCAACCAAAATACATTTCACTTCTCTGATATAGAAATAAACTCATATTTTTCACTGTTTTTTTTTTCCTTGAGAATGACAGTTTAAAACACAATTTTTCATCAAGTTTACCTAAAATTATACCCATATGCACCTTACTTGACCACTCTATAGTTATTTTAAGCATCATTTGAGGAATTCATCTCTCAACATTTCAGGAAACCGTAGATTTCTTTCGTTTACTAGATTTTACATTACTTGGCTATGGTGAAAAGTAAATTAACAGCCCCACCCCCTTCGATCTCTTGTTGTCCCTACGCGAGCGTGTTAATCTTGAAACTAGAAACTAAAACTGTTTCTGGCAATAATATTCCTAATTTAAAATGATACCTAATTTTCATTTAAAAATCATACTTCGTAAATCTGACGTACACCAACAAAGGCATGTTTTGGTGCATTTTTCATGTATCTAAACACAACTTCCAAGAGTCGTCTGCGTTGGGCACTGGAAAGCTGATTATGTTTTTAGATGCAGTGGTATCGAGACAATAATTCATCGGACAGCAATACAAAACGATCTAAAACTTCTTTAAAAACCACCAAGGCAACACACGACCACACAAACCACATCCTTTCCTTTTGATTCATTCTGAAGTTTGGCGCCATTGATGTTTATAAGTGTGAAAATGATATACAGACCTTCAAATTCCGAAAAGGATACATACCGTGATTATACAACCCAGGTGCTACAAAAGAAAACAAACACAAAAATAATAATTGTACAAAATAAAGAGTACCTTTTAAATGTTAGGCAAAAGTTTATGGCGAACAAGCTCTGATAGATGATTAACTTTGAAAAGACCAACTCCGTGATTGAGCATTATATACTGTTATAGCGCCTATATTATGTATGCCGGTGTACCAGTGAAAACTGTCCACGGTTACACCGGTAAATATTGAGCGCTTTTCCTGCACTTTATATTTTTATTTTAAATATCCCAGATATTAAGCAAGCCCCTAGAACGCAAGGGGGGGGGGGGGGGGGCAGGGGGTTGCAAAGAACCTTTATGTGCAGAGGCCACACCTCTTTAGCAGGGTTTGTTACATGTGATCATGTGATAAAAGTGATGCTCAATTTTCTTTATTCGTTAACACTGATATTAACGGTAACAAAACCGTTGCAAAGAGCTGTGATTCATTTCGTTTTGCAAGTTTTTTTTATGTTCAGATTTCCGGTATATATGTATACACTACCAGCTAGGCCCGAAGGAAGCAATTTCACTGTGAGGGGGCACAACCATACAATTTCAGTTGAGGGGCACTATCAACTACCAAAATCCCTTGACAAGCAAAAAAAAAAAAAAAAAAAAAAAGGAAAAAGGGTCATCAGACGTTATTATTGAAGGGGCACAAGCATATAGTAGCTATGCTTTCTGTATTCTATATATCGGCAAAATTAGGGGGGGGGGAGCATGATGTTTTCATTACTACTAAAATGATATCACTGTTCTTGACTTTCAATACCAGTTAAAAAAAAGAGATTGTTCCGCGACTTCAATAAATCTCATGTCCACAAAAAATTATGGCAACCTGCATAACCCATTAAACTGTTCCCTTTTACTTTGGTCGTTAAAATTTTGTAAAAAGATGAAACGGGTCATCAGTTTTGAAAAAGATTTACCTATCATTAACCACCGTGCCCCCTCCCCCACTTTTACTGAGTGAAGTATTTTGCTAAAGTAATTTTTTCTTAATATGCTGGTTGCCCCCCCCCCCTTTTGTTGCAGTTAGGTCAAGCACTAGCAAATTCTTGTCAGATTATTTTGTGTAGTTGCCCCCCTCACTTTTTGGTCAGTTTAGGTGTTTCGTTTTTTTTTTGTTTTTTGTTTTTGTTTTTTGATTTTTTTTTTTTTTTTTTTTGGTTTTGTTTTGTTTTGTTTTTGGGTTTTTTTTTTGTGTTGTTGTTGTTGTTTTTATTTGTTTGCTTGTTTATTTGTTGTTGTTTTTTTGGGGCTTGTCAGATTTTTTGGGACCCCCCCCCCACTTTGAAACCGTTGCTACGGGCCTGCTAAGAACGATATAGGAAATGGCATGCAAGCAATATCTCAAATACCTCAAATATTTCAGAAAAAATTTCAAAAACTGTTTCAGTCCTTAATCAGTAAATACGGCTTTATTTCATGTTCAATGCAAAGCAGTTTGTCGATGTATAGTTGAGTATAATATGATCCATGAAATTAATAAATCCTAACATGACCCCACCCTCCCCGCCACACCCCATTCTAGAACTTCAGACCGAATCAGCTGTATAATTAAAATCTTTTAATTTATTTTAAATAAAGTCACTAAATTACATTTTCTCTTAATTCATCAGCATACATAAAACTGTAAGTTTGCTGAATATAAATCCCTAATATCTATAACTTGTATGACTTCTGTCTTTCACTGATTAACAATTTTCAATTGCCAATGAGTACATGACTAATTATTTGTCATGAGGAAAACTTTGTTTTCAAGTTATATTTAGAATTCATAATTACAGTGTTCTATTATTTTAAATATTACTTGAAAACATAGTTTTCCTCATGACACTTCTATCAAAATATCTATAGCTGTAAAAAGATTATACTCATATTTTTAAAATTAATTATATAAGAATCATTTTAATTCCAAATATATATACTTACTTTCCATCAGAAGAAAATATATAAGTAATCCAATTCCGAAAGCAATTAACAAAGCACCGATTAACAGTAAAAGCACAAGACCGAGTCTTTTTTGTTTCATCCTTTCCTCGGATTTAATGGATTTCCTGCTAATTATTGTAGAGTCACTATCTGATTGTCCGTGGATAAACTGGGCGTTTCCACCCCTTAGTTTTCCGTCTGGATCCTCCCCATGTCGATGGGAGGAATGATGATGTCGGTGGTGGTGTTCTCTCCTGTGAAGTGAATTGTAATCGTTTCTGTCACCCCCGCCGCCCCGATAGGATCGTGATGGATACTGAAAATTGAGTACTTTATATCATTAATGGTCCAGAATCATGAAAAAAGGCAGGTATTTTGAATGCTAAATCTTTAAAGACTGTTCTGTGAAAATTTGTAGCAATGATGCTTATTTACTCGATCTTGAAAAAGAAAGAAAGAAAGAAAGAATATTTAGGATGAAAAATCCCTAACACATAACTTCTGAGTTTGATAGAACACTGGTTACAGGGGGGGGGGGGGGGGGGACTAGGACCTACTAATATTTTTTTAAAGAAAGACAGAAATTGAAGATATTCGTAACGAAAATTTCAATTTGCTATTGATAAATTCTTAAATCACAAATTTTGGTAATATCCCCACTCTTCTGAAAAATTAAACTCCAACTCGAATGTTAAAATATCACAGAAATATATTTTTAATCCGTTACGATATTTTCTGTAATGGACCTATTGTCTTCGAGCTACCGACGTTTGACCGTACTGTAGACTTCCTGCATTTCACTAACCATTATCTAACGATCCAAATACACTCCGTTACTTGTTTAACTGAGGTAACACATTACTCTAAAGATGTTATCTTAACATTCAGTTTTATATCTATATACATACAGCCGTATAAGGTTACAAAACAGATCACACCCCCTTGAGCAGGACGCACATTTAACACATTTTATTCAACTGATTAACGCTTTATCCGTAGTAATCTGCAGTCTAATTTTTCATTGCAGCCCTTGGGAAGGCGTCGACCCTATCCAGGGGGGACGACAGGCATTCTGCGTATATATTATAAATGTCGTTTGTAGTTTGTACAGAAATTAACTCGTGATCACGATGCACAGGCGGAGATTGCAGTGGATCCAAAAAGTTTCAGGCCATATGCACTTTCGACATTTAACAATTTCATTAAACTTTTTCGAATTTATTATAATTATGTGTGTTCTTATCAAACACTCAATCCACGTGATTTCAGTGCAAACGTATTTATATGAAGCTTCCTAATATCAGAACTTTTCCGTGTTATGCGTACCTGTATATAATTATAGCAAATATGTTTTTGACCGATGGAACATACAAAATTATACTGTAAAGACTTTACACTCCACTTTGTATATATATGTATATTTTCTTTAGTTTTGTTTTATTTTGTTAATAAGCCGAAGTGGACGTAGGTCTTAGCCCCTCATCTCCCAAAAGATTAATTAGTATGAACGTGATAGGTCTCTCTGGGAAAAGTGAATCGGGTGTACATATAAATATAAAAGTCATATCTCCCTCACCTATACTCCAACCCTTTCCCTAAAAACTAGCGTTCCCCCTTCTTTTTGAAGATTATGCTTTTGATTTTTCCTTGTCACAAAGTTTTGAAACTTGTTTATCTTTACTCTGGACATGCAGTCTGCACTTGACTCTGAGTGATTAATTTCATGTGTAGCATAGGAAAAAAAAAACATATAACCTTACTTTGATGCTTATTAAAAATTTGAAATTAACTAAAATCCCTTAAATACAGATACTCAAATAAAGTCTTAACCTTGATATATATATAGTATTACAACAAGAACATCTGATGAATGTATTTTAGCATATAAAACGGTACTATAACTTATTAACAGGCCTTTCATTGGTGCCAAAACAATATTGTGTTTGTAAATTGTTCTAGAAACCCATCTTAAACTTTATAATTTGATGAAACAGTTGTATATGGAACGCCAAATTAACATATATTCAAATATTTGAACCTATCTTCAAATAATTGTACCTATCTTCAAATGATTGAACCTATCTTCAAATAAATTGAAGACATAGGTACAATTGAATTAAAGATAGATCTAAATGAATTAAAGATAGGTGTAAATTTTTATACCTATCTCTAAATAATTAAACCTAGGTTTAAATAAATTACACCTATCTTTAATGGAATTACACCTATCTTCAATTCATTTAAAGATAGGTTTAATTGAATTATATCTATCTTCAATTCATTTAAAGATAGGTTCAATTGATTTGAAGATAGGTACAATTGATTTGAAGATAGGTACAATTGAAACATATCCACAAAGGATTTGAAGATAGGTACAATTTAATTATACGTAGGTTCGTTTTGTGTTTTGAAAATAATGGAAGCTCCCTCTAACAGCGTCTTGAACATGGAGGGAACCGCACGGAGCATTTTTTTTTTTTTATTGGGACTAGTTGTTATTTTCAGTATCTTTATAATTAAAGATAGGTTCAATTCAGTTGCACCTATCTTTAAATCAATTATACCTATCTTTAATTCAAGGCATTTGTACCTATCTTCAAATCAATTGTACCTATCTTCAAATGAATTAAAGATAGGTATAATTGAATTAAACCTATCTTTAATTCATTTGAAGATAGGTACAATTAATTGAAGATAGGTTCAAATATTTGAATATATGTTAATTTGGCGTTCCATGCAGTTGAGGGAAAAAAATCAAAGTGTACATATACTCTACCCTCATATATACATGTACTAAGTAGGTTTCTGGTTAAGTGTTCCTGTAATGAGTGTATTCATCCTACGACTGTTCCTTATCTGACCGCAATCTGTAATTTTATGCTTCTTTGTTGTATTTTCATGCATAACTTTAATCTATATCTTGGAAATCAATTGTCTCGATAATACAAACAAAGTTAGACGAGTCTATATATTTCTCTGTGTTTAATTACATGTATTATAAAAGAGAAAAAAGAAGAAAAAAGTCATTAAAAGACCAAGCAATTACAGCCAATTTCCCTTCAGACTGTACCTTTGTGCTTTAAACATCGTTTTATTTTATTTATTAATTTTTTATTTGAAATTAATTCCCTTTTTAAACCTGCATGAGTTTTGTCTATCAACCGACAATTAAAAACGAAGACAACGCTGTGTATTAATTCATCCAACATGCAGCCACAATTTCTTTGTATTTTGCAACGAAAAAGCAATGGTTAAACGCTTCACCCAGACTTATACCATTATAAACAAATAAAGGTCCATCCTTTCACAAGGATGTCCATAATACATTTAGGTGTGGAAGCATCGAGTCATTATCACTCCATTCTTCAGAAGATATTATACATGCGGGGAAGTAAACTAAAAATGACCTTCTATCGTAAACAGTAAGATTCTTGTTAATGTTTAATGCGATCTTTAATTAAGAATTTTTGACGCACTGAAAAACGAGGCATTTTTTTCTGGCTTATTGTCTTTAAACCAAAAGATCTTGTAATTGGTTAACTTAGATCAATATAATGTCCATCGAAATCTTTTCATCTCTGCTTTGAACATAAAAGAAGAATGTCACTCGCTGGAACTCACATATGTCTTCTCTACGCTATAACGGATAAATGTTTAAACGGTCACAACGACAATTTTCTGCGATGACTTTTTTTTTTTAATTCTTCGTCCAGCGAATGGTTATAATACTAGTGGCTTGCTATGCATTGCGTCTGTGTGGGTTACTTTTATTACATACATTGTATGGTGTACATAAAAAAATACCCCCTCCTCTTCTGGAAAAAGGTATATCTATTATTTTGAGCGTTTCGTATCAAAATGAAACATGGCATGTACATTTTAGAATTTTATACTTAATTTACCAGAAAACTTAAAAATTATATTTAAAAAAAATAGACTCACTCTGTGTTTATTAGTATCATGAGAGTGTCGAAGTTACCACACTTATTTAAGTTTGTCAAATAAATCTATACACCAACCAGTCCATTAATTAAAAATCTACATAGTGACGCTATATTTCATTTACAGGAAGGCCAGACTCGGGAATTATTATTATTACGATAATGAACATAAAAAATAAACATAAAATCCCAGCATCTTGGGTCAATTACAGGTAAAACACACTTGTAAAACAAAGGTGTGTCACTGCTGCATGAGATGATGAGGCCGTCAGTTTACTGGTATAGTATGTCAAAGCGGGAAAGCCACCGCGATGAAAGACTGCTGCTAAATTTATGACAGAAATAATAGACGGGCGCTCACTAGATGTTTGAAATGAACAACAATAACTGCACCTAACCGAGACTCCTATCTCCCCCTGGGGGAAACAGCTCATCTGAAATGTCACTATGAAGGGCGTTACCATTGTGTGTTTGCCAATATCTGTGACGGAAGGTGATTTAGTTTCTAAGCCTTATGAAACTCTTGGCTATCTGCCGATTAGGACGCAGTCTTCTTTAAAATCTGTTGTTTCCTCTCTTTAATATGTGAACTCATCGAGGGAAGGGGAGGGGGGGGGGGGTTAAAAACTCCCTGTACATAAAATCTTTGTGTTATTTTTATACAGTCGTTTAATTAACCATATTGAAGAAAATAATGCCCTTTGAAGCAACCTGCATGTTATGTTTGTTCCATTTAAATGTAAAATAACGATTAACCTCATGTGAAAGGACAAAGTGGCCAGATTGTTGAGAAAATTATTACAAAAATGACATAAAAAAAAAAAGATCATAAACAATCGAGGAATTCTTTTTATGTGGGCATCGGGCTTGTTATCAGTTTCCTCTAAAATTCTAACAACTTCCTATAAGAACCAGAAAAATATTTGAACTTGCATTAATCGCTTGTTTTTCACACACTTGGAAGAACAAGAATTTCCAAAAATTAAGAAAAAACATAAAAACAAACATGATTTTACAACAAAGCATTTTGTTCCCGGACAATTCACATGTTATCCTCGGGCATATTTTGTCCGTTAAGATCTCATGAAGTTTGGTTTTATTTTATTTCAGAATTTTAAAATAACTTCGATTTGTAGGACGAGCACTACTTTGATGTTTTAATTTTGACGTTTAGTGGGATCTGCATTGAAGACAATGTGATATGCACTAACGCAACTTGTTAATAGAAACCAATATATCAACCATAAAACTGACATTCGATTAGCAGCAACACGATATTTTTGTCTTTTTGATGTTTTATAGGATTACAAGGGTTATTTTATTCATTTTGAGATGAAGGACAATTAGTATTTATTATTATCTAATTAGAATGAGGCAATATACATATATGGCATAAGCTTATGTAGAACATTGCTAAAAAGAAACGATAGTTTTTTTCTCTAACAATATTAAACGGTATATTAATATTATTAAAAAGTATGTACTGCAACAAAATTTTTAAAACGAGGAATCGCGTAGGTATAAATATATAAAGTCAATTTTGCTTTGATTGATAATCGAAAATGCGATATTATCTAAGAATCATAAACATTAGTGAAAGTTAAATGAATCACAAAGAAAACAATCATTTCAAAAGTATACATATATATCAAATATATCCAAAAAATATCGATATATCGATAATCTGATGATCTTACCGTATCGTGATATGGACGGGCGATTGTGTCTTCTTTCAAATGCTCGATCCAATCGGGCCGCCGTTCTCTGTCCATTATTATTATTTCTCACTACGTTCACTTCTCAAAATTTTTTTATTAATTTTGTTATTGGATGCCTTTGTGTCTGTGTTACATAATTACAGAATTTAAAAAAATTAAATATGTTTGATATCCGGGCAACGTATCCAAAATCTTTTTACACAAAATTGCTTGTATGTTGATAAGCACTGTACTTCCTTTTTCAATATCCCAGTTTCAATAACTGAAGAAGATTTAGTTTTGGGCAGTTGTCATAATTTTCACGTCATGTAAAATGATGCATTTAATATACGCCACCTTTCGCTCCTCTTTCATCTAGAAAGTTGACCCCACGGTCAGCATATTGTCTTGTGCTCGCTCACTCATCCATAGACTAGGGGTCTGTGATAAACGCTTGCCCGGGGGGCGGGCGCAACCAACACTTGTCCGGATCAGTAATGTTTCATTGCGTATGTATCAGAGCAAGAAAACTGGTTAACACGCTGAAACTATTGTAAAATACGTGTTTTACGCAACCGAACGCACGATTGAAAAGTGTGTTTAATTACAGGTGATGGAAACTTATTCAACTTCGTAAAATGAACTTTAAAAGAAACTTTTTTTGTGAAAAAAAATTAATGAATGAACATGGGGTTCATCTCCTAATTTGTATTACTTGTAATAATTAACCATCATATTTATGGATGCTTATATGTTTTGTCAGATTTAATTAATTAGAGATTGTAATGTCCTTTCTTTTGTCTAAAAATTAATTTAGAGACATGCATCCGCTGTCACCCCATGTCAATTTCACACCTGTAAACAAAAAAAACCACGTGTTCTCGTTTGTCATATCTATATGCTGGTCATAAAACAGCTGATGTAGATCATTGTCAAATGAAAGAAGGATATCTATGAAAAAATGGGTTTTTGAAATAAATCGACATAAGATTTTGTAGGGAAAATCAGTTTGATTGACAAAAACATACAGAGAGAGAGAGAGAGAGAGAGAGAGAGAGAGAGAGCAAACATTATCAATTGGTATTAATATTGCCACTTCATGGTTCACATCCTTGTAAGGAATATATCCCCACTCTTGTAAACAGTGAGGATCGAGAAAACATTGGTTTCGGACGCTGTTGGCATCGTCGGATACCCACGGGTGATCTCGTATTTTACTCAACACCCGGGTGATGAGTAAAAGACGAGAGGGTATCCGATGATGGACTATTGGCACTCGTTAAATGTCTGGTTTCAGGTACTTTTTTAAACTACAAAGTGAATATCAATTTTCATAAAGTAAAGTGACCAAATAAAGCAATTGTATTGCTTTCATACCCCAAAGACGCCCAATAAACACGCATTATACATAAATATAGTTACAGTTGAAGATCGTTTTCTCCAACAACGATATCTCGAATACAAGGGATATGTTGAAGTGAATAGGTAGCCCTTATACCGGTATTTTACTGTCTAACCTAAAATGTAAATGATATACAAAGTAAGTTAAATAACGCTTCTTTTCTGTTGTATTGGAGGACTAAATCCATCAAAACTTAGATCCATATCTGACAAAAGTTTCTGGATCCACCCCCTGAATGATGGAAAACCCGCACGGAGAACTTGTGTTAATATTTTATCAACTCTTTTTGTAGATGTGTCGTTTAAACTGGTTTTCGTCATAGTTGCAGAGCTGTAGCCATGTGGGAAAGAAAAAGACAGACAGACATAGAAGAGCATTTTATTTCTGTTCGAATTTTCTTTCCAAGAGATTCTGCAGCTAGTTGCTGTCAAAGTAACGTTCATAATTCTACACTGCTAAGTGTAAACGGGCTAATCCAAAACAATTATGTTATCCATCTTCTTCAATACAGATCTAGGTTTTCCGTGAACAAGTTCATAAACAAAACAAGGAATTGGCTGACAAAAACGACCTCAGTCACTTTGGCCCTCGGGTTGGACAAAACTTATGTTACCCTCGAAAACAAGTCAATAAGCATGGTTTAGAAAATACCCTGCTAGCTTTACAAAAATCCTGTACATAGTTCAGTTTTCATATCTATGTTTTCAAAGAAATGAATCACAGAAAATATTCTATCGTAATAACAGAGACAAACTTCTAGAAATAAACTGATAACAAAAAGTGGCTTTCTATGAGTTCTCAGAATCCGTTGTTGACTTTGATTTTGTTCATATCTCATTCATCAAAATCACCAATCGCACAATTAAGGAACTGAAATTCTCTTTTGATCCGTATCATTGCTAGTATACGGGCCAGTTGCTATCCAGTTCCATAGGATATGATTCGGTTGTTTTATATCTTCCATCTGGATCCATTGGATATGGTCCAGTTGTTCCATATTCTCCCGAGTCATTATCTGGATCCATTGGGTATGATGTTCCATATCCTCCAAATCCACTATCTGGATCCATTGGATATGGTCGAGTTGTTTCATATTTTCCAGATTCACTATCTGGATCCATTGGGTATGATGTTCCATATCCTCCAAATCCACTATCTGGATCCATTGGATATGGTCCAGTTGTTCCATATCCTCCAAATCCACTATCTGGATCCACTGGGTATGGTCCAGTTGTTCCATATCCTCCAAATCCACTATCTGGATACACTGGGTATGGTCCAGTTGTTCCATATTCCCCAGAGTCACTATCTGGATCCATTGGGTATGGTTCCGTCCTCCCATAACCTTCCAATTCCCCATCTGGATCCTTTGGGTATGATTCAGTTGTTTCATATCCTTTATACCCACTATCTGGATCCATTGAAGTATCCCATTCGGGAGTTGAACCCATTCTTCTCCTGTCAATGTCTCTGCTGCTATCTGTTGCTTTCAGGTACTCAAAGATAGCCTTCAAATATTCAAGCTGCCCTCCATCTGCAAGAGTTATAAATATGACGTCAAAAATGCAATAGTAGTCTCCGGGCATTTCAGTGCACGCGCGGGCTTATATGGCTCTATAAAAGCCCGGGTTCTCTTTTTTATTACCAACATTATTGAGAAATATATATCAAAGTTTGTAGAAAGGAAATTTGATCCTGCCTTTTGTGGTACTTACTGAGGAACTCGGACACAAAGATGATGATGTTGTCCATGTTTCCAGTGGTCATGTGGGTCTCAACCCGGTCAAAGTTGCGCACGGCCCTCCTCACATAGCCTTTGTAGACTTGGAGAATGGCTTTGATGACAGGCGCGGGGTCACTGGTTAGGTATCTAGGTGCCAAGTATTTTGTCAGCCACTCCCTTGCTTTATCTAAGTGTTTGTCCTCGGAGTACCTATATTTGTAAAAATGAAAAGTAATATTTGAAAAAAAAATTAGTATTGGTTGAAAAGACCCATACCAACTATTCATTACGATATTTCACATTCCATTCATTCTCTGTGGTATTAAAACTTAACCTTTAATATTTCTAGTAATATTTTACTCTTGGTGGTAGTTGTAGAGATAAGAAGGACTTTGTTTCAAAACTGAAGGGAGACTGTTTTCCACCAGCTTACCTTTGTTGAAAACGCACCGCGAGTGTCCGGTGAAAATCCCATAGATCTTGCAGGCGAGGACATTTGAAATCAAAATTATTCCCCGACAAAAGCAGCTCATTTAATTTTTGGTCAAATTCTGTAACACTCCACTTCTCCTGCCTAGCTCTATATATCAAGATCTTCATTTTGCCAAAGAATTCCATGATATCTGAAGTGTTGGAATAAAATTTGAAATGGATGGATTAACAAAATTTTAAACCTATCTTTTCAGTGTGTGTGATACACAAACACAAGTATGCAATAACATCTTTGGTAAATGGTTTGCAAAGAAGAACAATTCAAAAGCACACTACCTTGCTCAAATATAAACAAGAAAAAAATGCACTTTAAATAGTGTTGCAGTTATGTACCTTTAAAGTAGAAAAACTTAATGTACTCCATAAAGTCTCCAAAAATATGTCTATGAGCAGTCTTCACAATCATCCTGGCGACATTTTCTCTCGTGGTATTGTTCGTTATTTGGTTTTCTAGGATATTTCTGACATAGGTATACATATTCTGGTCCTCTTCTGTCATGACACGCTCCTGGTCCTTCAGAACGTCTGAATAAATACGCAAAGTTGTGCACAATATGTTAATAAATATTTAAAAACAAGGTGTGTTTGTGAAACACTGATGCCCCCGCATGCCAGTTTATGGCAAAGGTTAAAGTTTCTCAAATGCAAGTCAAACTCCAAAGTCAAAAGATCAATAATGTTGTTACCCAAAGAAAGGACTTATGATAGAGCAAATTGCATTAGACCTAAAGAATTTCACTGTTTGTGACGTGCTGACGCTTTGCTTGTCGAGAAGTTTAAATACTACGTCACATTGTTATCACATCAAAGGAAGTAACCGAGATCGCTTCTCTCCCACGCTAAAGTCGGTCAACTGCAATACACATCGCCGACGTTTAACGGGTTTATAAAAGGGGACAAACAGTCCAACCGTCCTTTTATCGAATATTCAAATCTTAAACAATTGAAAATAGAGCAGTATGCATTTTTTAGAGTCCATAATAAATTGATGAAGTTGAGGTGATTATTTTATTCCGTAACATATTTTACCTTTTTTCATATTTGCGTATAAAAAGTAGTGCATGATTAACTTGATTTATCAGTATCAATCCAGGTCATGCATTCTTAGATTGTAGCAATTTATTACAGTAACAAATGGAGCCCACTCTGTACGCATATTATTCTCTATTGAGAAGTTGATGGCTCGTTTTAATACTCCCCCTTCCCCCACCCCGAAATAGAGTTTCCCTTTTTTCTTTTGCTTGTCAACCTTATTTCAGAGTAGAAGAAAATAAGAAAATAAATAATCTGTCCTTGACTGGTATCATGATATGAAAATAAATAATTTGACTCTTGCCAGCCCCACTCCTTCAAAATCAAATGGCCGTCCCCTAATTGGACACGCAGTGTATACATGTATTTTTTTTTCAAGATGTATGGTTTGGTTTGGTTTGAACATATTATATTGTAATTTCTAATTACAAAGGGATTGGGCACAAGTTCTAAAAATTATTACGCCCTCTCCCTCAAGATGTATACATTATATAGGCTATAACACGGAACAATCGTCTCTACCTTCTTTTTTCTTCTTTCACTTTTCCCGCTTCCCTCCTCTAATCTACCTTTTTAAAACCACCATTCATTCCAGATACGTAGCTTTTTTTTTATTTCAAAGAGAAGTGAAGACAAAGCTGGCAAAAAAAAAAAAAGCCTAAAAAGACTTTGACAAGCTCAAAAAGTAGAACAATAGTAGAACAATAAATTTTAAAAATAGGAAATTTCAAAGAACTCAAAATTAAGAATTTGGCGGAGAAGGGGTTTCTTTTCTCATATTCGTCACTTTTTAGGCGCAATAACATGGAAGACCTCACATTGGACTGTAAAGAAAAGTTGGGGAGGGGGCTTTGGTGAAAGAGGCCTCCGAATGAAAATTTCAATGCATAAAAAAATAATAACAGTGAAAAAAAAAATTGTGAAAGGGGGGGGGGGGCTAAAGAAAACTGCCATTTAGAGTTCCATAAAAAAGGGGGCCGGGAGGGGTTTCTTACATTATGTGCCCGTTAACATACTTGAAGGGATAAAAACGAATCGGATTGAAATGAGAGCTCCCCCCACTTTTTGTCGCCAATTACTCGGGTCTATGCTGTATGTAACACATCAAAGATGTGGAATAGTATCAATTGTTTTTTATAGTTTGATTGAGTTAAAACAAGATAAATACTCCATTTCAGGTACGAATTGGTGATAAATATTTAGAAAGCCATATTCTCTAAACGTCGTATTACTTAATTCAAGCATATAAAGTAATAAAACACGCATAAGATCTAAGAAAACAAATTGCATCGCATAATTATTAAATACTGTATTAATACGTGATAAACTTGTCCCACAGTTGCTGAAATCGCACCTGTTTCCTTTCTAACCCCCCCCCCCCCAACATACACACAATGGAGGATGTGTGCAAAATCTCTGCGTACGCAGTACTCAGTACGTATTGTGTTCCTTGTTATGGGTATACATGTACTTCCTGCATTCTCTGTTTTATAAAAGATTGCAAAAATGTGTCTCTTTTACGTAATGCACGGTATTGTTAAAAAAACCCTTCTTAAAAAAAAACTGCGGCAGTCTGTATAGTGTATGAGCAATGAGAATGGGCTTAAACTTTGCCTACTGATAAACTGATTTGTAATTTATATAATAAAAGAAATAAGAGTGCCAAATTTTCCCCCAAAACGATTTGCCCACATAGATTTCATTTTTGATTTGTGTATATGGCATGTAGACTGTAGGCTACACGTAAACCATCTTGTCATAACATCAAAATAAATGAAAATACTAGATCATATATTTATTTTTCACACAATAATGATACAATAGAGTGAAATGCATGACTGTATGCAGCCACTGAAAGGTTTTCTTAGAGAGGAAGAGAGAGAGAGAGAGAAGAAAAAAGCTATCACACATGCGTTTTTCTTTTCTAAGCAAAAATATGTACAAATACTAATTTAGCACTTTGACATAATTATTGACAATTATGAATTCGAATTACCTTCTTGGCAGAAGTATTCGTAACGTAAATTCGCCCAAACATGAAAAACTTATTTCGTGTGTGTGTGTGTGTGGGGGGGGGGGGGGGGGGGGTTAGTCGTTGACTTCTAATGTTTGTACCTTTTCATACCAACGTAACACAGATCTGCTTTTACGAAAGCCCATTGAGCTTTTTCGTAGGTAAAAAAAAATATATTTTTCGCGTTATAACGCGAAACTTTCGCGTTATAACGTTGCGTTTATGGACTCTAAAAAAGCATACTGCTCTATTTTCAATTGTTTAAGATATGTGCAGGAAATATTCAATAAAAGGACGGCTGGACTGTCTGCCCCCTTTTATAAACCCGTTATACGTCAGCGATGTATATTGCAGTTGACCGACTCTTTAGCGTGGGAGAGAAGCGATCTCGGTTACTTCCTTTGATGTGGTAACAATGTGACGTACTATTTAAACTTCTAGACAAGCAAAGCGTCAGCACGTCACAAACAGTGAAATCCTTTAGGTCTAATGCAATTTGCTATATTGGATATAGCTGGTAAATATGAAAGCCAAAGCACCAACATTCAAAATTTATAGTCAAGGTTAATGTTTCTAAGAGTGGTCCAAACTCCAAAGTCAAGGTCAAAGGGTCAAAATTAATTGTACGTTGGGGAAGACCTTGTCATAAGAAATACACAAGCAAAATATAAAAGCCCTAGAACCAACTATTCAAAAATTATGGCCAAAGTCAAAGTTTTTCAAAATATGTCAAACTCCAAGGTCAAAATTGGTGAGATCCAAAGGAATGTCTTGTCACAAGGAATATACCTGTAACATTTGAAAGCCCTGGTACTAACTGTTCAAAAGTTATGTCCAAGGTTAAAGTTTTTAAAAGTGTGACAAACTCTAAGGTCAAGGTCAACAGGTCAAAAATATTACACCCATCGAAAGGTCTCGTCACGATAGATACTCATGTGAAAAAATGAAAGCCTTAGCACCAACTGTTCAAAAGTTATGGACAAGGTTAAAGTCTGGTAATTTTTTTCAAAAGTGGGTCAAACTCGAAGGTCTACGTCAAGAAATCAAGTATGTTGGTACTAAAAGGAGGGTCTTTTCAAAAGAATACACAGTCATGTGAAATATGAAAGCCATAGCTCCAACCAGTCAAAAGTACTGGGCAAGGTTAAAGTTTTTGCGGACAAACAGACAGACGGACGGACGGACAGGGCAAAAACTTAATACCCCGAATCTTCGATTAAGGGGGCATAAAAATGACAATATGTCTTTACTGGTAAATCAGTTTTTTAAATGAAAAGATTTGTTATGTTCGAAACTAACATGACTTGCTACCATCACGGAACAGTAAACCAGTCATTTTCTTCCAACCCCTCTTTAATTGACCAATCAAAAATTTTGCAGAAGTTTGAATTTCATATCGAGCTAAATTGATTTACTTCTCCTTGTGCAAAAATTAGATTAAAGTCCCTTGTTGTCATATAAACCGAAATCTGATAGAAGAAAGAAAGACTTAGAAATTAAAGCTGTCCTCATATACTTACAGAAAACCATTTGG